TCCAACAATCCCCCACATGAATAGAAATGACTCTAGACACTGGACGACTCAACTCTAGACTTGACTCTCTAGACAAGACTCAAAAGACTCAAAAAACGACTTTTGAGAGTACAGCGAAAAATCCACTGTATATGAGTTGGTAGCATTTTTCAGCCTTGAACCAAATCACTGTCATAAACTATCGGATTTACTCGACCAAGAGGTGAACATGATGTCTTGAACCTCTCGGGCTTTGATGTAAACCGAGACAATAGCTATAACACAGCTTCATTCTCTCACAGAATCAGGTTCTCTATTGTGTTCATTTTGGCCGTGAACTTGCCTGGATAATCATGAGTGAACTTGGAGAATATAGCCTTTCATTTATTCTCCTAGAAACGGCCCCATTTCACACTCACAAGGTGATTCGCCATTAACTTTGTTTAAAGGAGTATCCTGCATTACTCCATGTATATTTCAAAGTTATGGACCCAAATCATTAAAAGCAAAAGCTTATCCTCTACACCATACAGGTAGCACTGTTCATCATCCTAGGAACTGGGTAGAGACATGAGTCTCCCAGTGCTAGTTGATTCAGTTTGACTTAGTTTTCCCCTTGAACCTATTTCATGGGATCTCCAATCAGTTAGGTAGGGTTACCATCAAACTCCTCTTAAGTAATAGGCTTTAAACCCATTCCTCTTGATGATTTTACAATTTAATCTCATGACACACCTTTAATTGGATCCTAGGTTGTCATTCAAGTAGATATAATCTATTAAGATTACTCCATTTGAGATCAATTGTTTAACAATTTTAGGCAGTGGCATTGCAACTTTTGCTATGCACCCCCACACTTTTAGGTATTTGTACAAATGTACTTTACCTTTCAAAGCTCATATGACATTTTGTCAATACTTTATGTGGTAAACAACTTTTTACCCCCACATTTCTTGAGATAACTCAAAAATCATGCAACTTTGCATTTTCACATTTTAGTTTTAAAGAATGGCTAGAAAGATAATATCTTTTGTAACCAATTTTAAACTTTTTCCACATAATTTGTCTAACATTAGTCTTGTGTTTACAACACTAAGCACTAATATGACAATATGATAAATATCATAATTTGGTACAATCACAAGTGGAAGACCATTACCAAAATAAATTTGGTATGTCAACTCACTAAACTTGTTACCAATAACCCTTCAACCACTAATGGTATGGAAAAAATCATAAATGGTAGACCACTCCCAACATGGGGTATCAACTCATTTGATTTTTCACTTTAGAAACATTTTTGTAAATGTTCTAATTTTTGGTAAATTTTTTCTTTCTTCCTTGATTCAATTTGCATAAAAGCCAAACCTGAATCATCATACCAAAAATATCAGAAATATATCAAATATATATTAAGCAATTTAAACACTTCTGAAAATTGCAACAAATAATTAAATTACAAATTCAGAATTAACAATTTAATCCAATGCTAAAACAACAGTTTAAACAATTAGAATAAATTGCATCAATTAATTATTAAAATAATACTAGCAATAACAGTCAAAAATCTATGCAATATTCAACGACATAATTAAAACATGACTTAACAACAAAAGTCAAAACTTCTTTGCAACGAAGGAGTTAAATGCTAGACAAAGCAAATAAACATCAATCTGAATACTTCAATGCATTTATCAACGAATAAAAAAAAATGCAGCAAAGAAATTTTGTTAGTCACAAAGAAATTTGTGTTCTTAAAACACAAATAATTGCTCCAAAAATCCTGCAAAATAATCAGAATATTAATCCAATTCCAGAATATAATTCTTCCATAAACATATGTTCATATCAATCTTAACAAATATAAAAAATTATTAATGCATAGCAGAATATTTTTTCAGATAAAAACACTGAAATAATTCTGAAAATTATGCAAAATAATTAAAATAATTTGCAGAAAATTAGAAGAATTAAATCATATTTTCTTCCTTTGATAACCTGCAAAATATAATCAAATAAATTTCTGAAAACCAGAAAATTAATTCCATAAATCTGATAATCTGAAAAAATAAATTAGAATAAATTGCAGAAAATTGGAAAAATTAATCCAATTAATCCAGAATTTCCAGTTCCTGTTTACATAACAAAAACACTTCACAAAAATCAGTTTTCATTAGTGCAATAAGCAAAAACGAAAATTTACAGAATTAAGATTGTAAGAACGCAATTTCTACAATGGGCGACTGATTAATGTAAAGTATAAATATGAACAAATTAATATAACATAATATTAAAATGATACAAATAAACAAGAATTAAGGGAAATAAAACCGGATTTGCAGAGTCGAGATATGATCTCTTTCCTTAATTCTGTAAACGCCCCGTAGTGTGACGGTTGCATGGCGTTCCGAATCCCAGGATAAAACTGCATACTTCTTATGATTGCATCACTCAATACATAAGCTTGCGAACCATGTTTTCTGTGATGTACTCTCATAAGAAAAACAAAACAAAAAGAAGAGAAGTGAAAGGATTGTTTCTTGTATGAATGTGTGCTTAATCTCATAAGAAAGAGAAGGAGACATGACTTTATAAAGAAGTCTTATGCCTTAACATTTTTCCAACGTTGGACATTAAGTGGAGTTGAAAAATTCATTTCTCCATAATGAATTCAACATGCAATAAGTTCTTTTATGTTACACAAAATTACAATTGATTTTTCTCACTTAATTGTCATGTTACCAACATTAATGAAAAGAGATTTTGTTGACTATTTTTCAACAACAAAATTCAGTGGTCAAAAGAATAATCTTAAAAATCGTTGGCCCGATTGCCAAATCCCGAGGCCCGGAAATAAGTTCAACCCATATATCTCTTTTCTCCACTTTAAATACAAGAGGATTTCACCTCATACTTCCAATATGGGACATTTCATAAATGTTACATTTTATGCTATACAAGCAACCCACTTAGACCTCCATTTCTCATTCAAACCAATTTCATTTTTGACATATAAATATATGTTATACAAGCAACCCACTTGGACCTCCATTTCTCATTTAAACCAATTTCATTTTTGACATATAAATATATTATCAGAAATATGTTTCAACATTACAAATGTCATATAATATTCAATTATTCATGTGATAAATATACAGATGAGCAGATAGTTGACCTGATTTTTTAGGTTGACACATATCTTCAGTATTCAAAGGTCATATTAGTTTAAGATTCGCTGTCAATATTTTAGTAGCATAATCATTAAGAAAGAGTTGACTTTGTTTTCAGAAACTTTGGTTATGAAGTATACGTCGCACAAAGAAAAAAGTATACGTTGTTTTGTATGGTTTGATACTTTGATTAATGTTGTGACAAAATCTTGACACCATGCTCTCCAGATACCAGATCTGACGGCTGGGAATCTCCCCAAGACAACCGTGCCGTACGAGAAGGGACACGGCAGTCAACGGTCTGCATCTTCACTTAGTTAACAATTACCATCATCTATTATAAATGTTCTGAATCTTCTGATCTTGTAATTGAAAAATGTTCTGATATTAGTGGTCAAACACATTTTAATTTTATACTTAAGGGTCTTAAATTGTGGAGCACAAGATCTGGAGAAAGGAGCAGAAAAAGATGAAGAGGACACGTGGGTTGGTTCATGGTTTTGATCGACAAATTACTCACGGGCAATGTCTTTTATCATCCTTTCGTTTCTAATTTATTAAATTTCGTGTTGACAAAAAATTAAGGAAAAACGATATGATTGTGTTTTCATTTACATAATCATATGATGGTTTAGAAAAGATCAGATTTCTTTTATTATTATTATTATTATAGGATTACCTAATGATTCTATAATCTAAGTCATTTGTGAATTGTGATAACTACACAATTTATATTTGCGAGGAAAAGAATACCTCATTTGAGGGTTTAACATCATCATATACACTTTTTGGGATGTGGCAAATTCTCCTCTCTTAGGTTTTCTAGGGTAAGACGATAACTATGATTGTTTGATGGAACAATGTCTCTATTTGATTGTTTGATGGAGTACATAATTGAACAAAAAAAAAACAAAAACAATATCCAAAATATGTCGCTGTGAACTCTGTAATCTTTCAACATATTCGTTTACTATAATTTACATCTCTACGACAAAAAGTTACAGCTCAATTCAAAACATATTTTATTCTCAAAACCAATCTAAAAATGATTTAAACATAAATTTATCATCTTTAAGTCTGGTCCCAAATCTGTAAGATGTCTTTTTGGATGACTTAAAAAAACTATAAGAACAATAGAAAATCGCAGAGAAAGAAAAACATACCAAAAAAAATAAAAATAAAAATAAAAAGCAAAGTTTGTGACTTTCGTGGAAACTCCTCCGTCTTCTCTGTCTTCTGATAAAGGGCTTCGCTTTCATCATTCAGTATCTTCTTCCTCTTCAATCTTCATCATCACTCTTCGATTTCTTCTTCCTCTGGTACGTTTACCATCTTCTCTCTTCTTCTTTTTTTTCTGTTTTTTTTCTTTCTTTCTGTTTTCGTTTTATTCTTTCGCTTTTCTGATCCCATCTTTTTCTGTCTCGCTCTTCCCGAGGAAAAACAAAATAAAGATTTGATTTTTTTCTTCTTTCTTTTAGGGGTTTAAACAGTGTTTATCTTTTTCCTCTCTCTCTCTTTTCCCCCATTTGTTGTTCTCGACCTTCCCACAAGTCTCTTCGAATCTACTGGATTCTCGGAAGCAAAAACACTTGTACGTGCTCGGGTTTGATCTCTACTTACAAAAGTTTCTTCCTTTTCCCTATTTACTCGAGCTGGATTCCGAATTCGACTTGAAATTTGGAGTTGCAGTAGAAAAGTTTCGAAATTGAAGTTTATATTCTCTCACTCATCTCGTCTTTGTGGATTCAGGGTTTCGAATTCCCCTCATATTAGTTACACGAAGTTGTGCATCCACTAATATTCATGACAAGTGAAATCTCTGCGATTTTGAAATCCTAGTCCCCGACAATGAATTTCCGACAGGAGAAGTTTGTTAGGTCAGTGTTTCAAATTCACTCTCTAAGATCGAATTCGAACCAAACCCACTTCTCACATTTTCTTGAAACTTAAAAATTCGATTGTCTCTTTATCAGGTTTCAGGATTGGAAGTCCGACAAGACATCCGACGCGGAATATTCCGGGAGAAGCGAGCCGCAAAACGGAATATTCCGGAGAACAATCAGCTCAATCTCCGAAAAGTTGCACAGAAGCTTCGAATCAACCTCATCAAGAATCAACCTCTTCAGGAGATCATACAAGTCTTACTCTTTCAAAGCAACACTCTCAAAAGGGATCGTCTCCACACACAAAATCCTCGACCCGCAAGGACCTTTCCTCCAGAGATGGAACAAGATCTTCGTCTTGGCCTGCATCATCGCCGTCTCGCTCGACCCTCTCTTCTTCTACGTCCCCGTGATCAACGACGCCAAGAAATGCCTCGGCCTCGACAAGAAGATGGAGATCACCGCCAGCGTCTTGCGCTCCTTCACCGACGTCTTCTACGTGATCCACATCATCTTCCAGTTCCGCACCGGCTTCATCGCTCCTTCTTCTCGTGTCTTTGGCAGAGGCGTTCTCGTTGAGGACAAGCGTGAGATCGCTAGACGTTACTTGTCCTCGCATTTCATCATCGACATTCTCGCTGTTCTTCCGCTTCCTCAGTTGGTGATTCTGATCATCATACCGCATATGAGAGGCTCGCCGTCTTTAAACACGAAGAATCTGTTGAAGTTCATTGTCTTCTTCCAGTACATACCGAGGTTTATAAGAATCTATCCGCTCTACAAGGAAGTGACGAGAACGTCTGGGATACTTACTGAGACGGCTTGGGCTGGAGCTGCTTTCAATCTCTTCCTCTACATGCTTGCTAGTCACGTGTTCGGTGCGTTCTGGTATTTGTTTTCGATCGAGCGTGAGACGGTTTGTTGGAAACAGGCTTGCAGGAGGAGAAGCTGCGATGTGAGGATGCTGTACTGTGAGAACAGTAGTGCAGGAGGGAATGCTTTCCTCAACGAGTCTTGTCCTGTTCAGAGTCCGAACACGACGCTCTTCGACTTTGGGATATTCCTTGACGCGCTTCAGTCCGGTGTTGTCGAGTCTCAGGATTTCCCTCAGAAGTTCTTTTACTGTTTCTGGTGGGGTCTTCAGAACCTCAGGTATTGCCAAGATTCACAAACCCTTTTCTTGTTGTAGAAATAAGAAATGATCAAATCTTGCATATCTTTGTTTCTGTTTCTTGATGCAGCTCGCTCGGACAAAACCTTAAAACAAGTACTTATGTTTGGGAGATCTGTTTCGCTGTCTTCATTTCTATCTCCGGGCTGGTTCTCTTCTCCTTCTTGATTGGGAACATGCAGGTTAGTTTTATTCCTCAAATGTGCCTCAGTGTTTGCAAAATGGATTGCTTATTATTATTTAAAAATAATGTCAGACGTATCTGCAATCAACAACGACGAGGTTGGAGGAGATGAGAGTGAAGAGAAGAGACGCAGAGCAATGGATGGCACACCGTTTGCTCCCTGAGAACTTGAGGAAAAGAATCCGGCGGTACGAGCAGTACAAATGGCAAGAGACAAGAGGCGTTAACGAGGAGAATCTTCTAAGCAATCTCCCTAAAGATCTTAGACGAGACATCAAACGCCATCTCTGTCTCGCCCTCCTCATGCGGGTATAAAAAAGAAAAAACACATCTCCTTCCTCTCTCTCTCTTCACTTATTGTTCAGCGCCACTCTTAAACTCTCAAAACATGTTTCCTATTGTGTTTTAGGTCCCAATGTTTGAGAAAATGGACGAGCAGCTTCTTGATGCTCTCTGTGACCGTTTGCAACCTGTGCTCTACACTGAGGAAAGCTACATCGTAAGAGAAGGAGACCCAGTAGATGAAATGCTCTTCATAATGCGTGGGAAGCTTCTAACGATGACGACAAACGGTGGAAGAACCGGTTTCTTCAACTCCGAGCATCTTGGAGCTGGTGACTTCTGCGGTGAGGAGCTTTTAACCTGGGCCTTAGACCCACACACATCCTCAAACCTCCCAATCTCGACGAGAACCGTTCGAGCTCTCGTGGAAGTTGAAGCCTTCGCTCTTAAAGCTGATGACCTCAAGTTTGTGGCTTCTCAATTCAGACGTCTTCACAGCAAACAGCTGAGACACACTTTCAGGTTCTACTCGCAGCAGTGGAGGACTTGGGCAGCTTGCTTCATACAAGCCGCTTGGAGAAGATACGTGAAGAAGAAACTCGAGGAGTCTCTTAAAGAAGAAGAGAACAGGTTGCAGGATGCTCTGGCAAAGGAAGCTGGTGAAAGCTCACCGAGCCTTGGAGCTACGATATACGCATCACGGTTCGCTGCGAACATCTTGCGGTCCATTCGTAGGAGCGGTTCGGTGCGAAAACCGAGGATGCATGAACGAATGCCTGCTATGCTACTTCAGAAACCAGCAGAACCAGATTTCAATAGTGATGATTAATGTATATGAATGATTTCATCAAATCACAATTCATGCAAAAGCCAAAGCAGATATAGAGTCGAATCAATATATATAAATAGAAGTCTTTTGATATTAAAGGAGTGAGCTTAGAGATACAAAGCTTCCAATGGTTTCATTATTCCCTCTTATAAGAGTTCTACAGAGTTTTTGATATGAGTGATAAGGTAATAAGATGTAGAGCCAAGCAGAAGTCAAGAAGAAGCCATGAGTGAAGCCACTTCTCTGCGCATGAATGTGGGCAAAGCGAAAGCTGCTCTGTGCATCTGTTTTAGCAAAGGAAAAAACATGTTAAGATTTTTGTTCTAAGTGAAATCTATGGAGAAGTAACAGTTGCGTTAAACTTACATCCGAGTTGTAAAACTTCAGTTCTCTTTTATGGTTCATTGCACCGTCAAGTTTCTCAATTGGGTTGATTGGGTTCTTGAAATCAACAGCTGGCCCTTCGGTAGAGCACAAGACGAAGCCAATCACGCCGCTACAATGAAAAGACTTTTTTTGCTTTAGTTCCATGTTCTGTTTCCAGTGAGATCACAGAATGTTAAGTAGAAGGAGAGTAAGAGTTAAACCTTGGATATGTGGGGACGCTGCTCCACGCATAGTGAACATTTTTGAATGTTTGACGGCAAATCGAGATCATATCTTCAATCAGATGAGTATGGAGCCACATACTTTCCGCCATGTTACAAAGAACTCCTCCAGGCTTCAATGCTCTAGCTAGCGTTTCGAAGAAAGGCTTCTCAACAAGCGCCTGAGCAGGACCTATGGTTACATAGAGAGAAACTTAAAAGTAAGAATTATCATGTAGTACTCAGATATCCAAAGACTTTTGGAGACGAATCATACCAACAGGATCTGAAGAATCAACAATGATGGCATCATACTTCCCTTCAGGAGATTTGCGGAGGAACTCAGCAGCTGCCAGAAGAAAGAGATATCAACACAAAAGGCAAATTTCAGATAAGTTTTTTGAATTGAGGAAGTAGAAGATTGCTCAATTACCATCACCAATGTGAAGTTGAACACGAGGATCGTCAAATCCAACCGCTAAGTCAGGGAAGAACTTCTTAGACACCTACAGAACCAAATGAATTTTATAGTCTGAGATAGAGCGCACAACTAAAGATTGCTCATATGTATGATAGGCACAAGGCCATATACTTACATCTATGACCATCTTGTCTATCTCACAAATGTCAATAACCTCAACAGAGCTATGGCGAGAAATCTCTCTGAGCACACCACCATCACCTCCACCAACAACCAGAACCTGCAAATGAATTTATACGGCAAAGTCCAGCATTAACAAAAGCAACAAAACTGTCTAAGCTTGACAATCCCTAATAAGAGCCATCTCATGAGATTAAGTAATAAGAATAGAGCTGCAACAATGCAAGCACGTTGTGTCGATAGACTAACCAAAGAGGGAAAAATCATCACAAACTGTACATACTTTCAGTTTGATTAATTGCAAGAGGCCACAGGATAAAGACAAGAAGAGAGTTTAAATTTTCAAGGTTAGAAGATTACATTCTTAGGGGAAGGTATAGAGCATAGAGGCAAATGGGCAATCATCTCCTGATATGCACACTCATCTTTTTCAGTCAGCTGTACAATTCCATCTAGAACAAGCACCTTTCCGTAGGTAGCTGACTGGAAAAAAACAAGAACAAAAATGATGTTATCCTAACCAAGAAGAAAGATCACAAACTGCACAGCCTAACTGGAAGCAGGCAGATTCAGAAGATGATAAGAACAATCGAAAGAAAAAAACAGAGATGCTGCTTGAAACCTCGAAGACTAGGACTTCCTGAAAATCTGACTTGTCTTTGAACAGAACTTTCTCAACTTTCAGTGAGTGTGCTTCTCCTACAACCAACACATAAAACAACATAGCTTCATCAGTCAAATGAACAAATACTCCGAAAGAAAACCACAACTTGCAAACTTTAACATATAGACTCAGCAGGACCTCAACAAAGACAAATCTTAAGGTAGCAAGACAATGATAAGCAACAAAAGCAAGCCTATCAAGAGGTAACCTACCTGGCCACATAGGGTTATTGAAATAGACTGCTTTGCCTTTTTTCCCTGCATCCAGTAAAGAACAAGATACCAAAAAATAAGAGACAGGTTCTGAGATAATTAGAGAAGCATGGCAAGAAAAAAGAAAAGCAAAGGAATATGACCAGGGCGAGGGTGAGTCTCCGAGAACCATCCAGAAACAACAGTGGAGTGGCACTTAGCATCTTCCTCTGGTACGCATGCCAAAGCCTTGAGGCAACAAGAAGGTACAGTCTTTTCAAACCCATTGCCATTACTCGCCTTCTCATCCATAATCTTCTGGCATGCCAAACCTTTTGCGCCTTCTCCCTCCATAGACAATCCTTTTCTTCTCCAGCTCCAGCCTACGTATACTGCACACACAAAAACAAAAGTACAAACTTGAGAATCCACACAACTTGAAAGCACAAGAGTAGCAAGATTTCAAACTCACAGCTTTAAGTTTCAGAGCCAAAACGTTCGTCTGCAATAGAGAGCTAAAGATTTTGACCCTAGAACCAAATTTAAGAAGGGGAAACACAGGGGATGAAGGAGGAAAGTTCCAAACTTTACATTAATTAACGAATCTTACAAAAACTAGAAAGTTTAACACTTTATAGAGAAAACGGTTGGATCGAATATTAAAGTATACAACTTTAGGAAATTCATCTACCAAAATATGGTCGAAAAATTCATATTGCACCACCAAATGGCTTTGTGAAATAAAAAAGATGTCTTTTTTAATCCTTGAAAATATATGATGAACAGAGTGAATGAGAGAGGAGTGAAGAAGTCATTATTTTCCTAATCATTTCTCCACAAAATAGAGATAAAACATGAGAATAGGGTTTCCAAAAACCCAGAAACGTCGCAAAACCGCAACTTTTCAGGGAGAAGCGGAAAAAATCAGGCCGGAAATAAACCCCAACAATCAAGTTTCATCCATATCGGAAACAATCAAAACCTCTGAGATCATTCAAAATCAAACTAGTAAATGCGAAGAAGACGAATTAGAGGAGCGTGAGAGAGAGAATGGCACCTGGTGTTTAATGGCGGAGAAGAGAGAGAGCCTTGATAATCGGAAGCTGAAACGTGATCTGAAGAAGAATACAGTGAGCGGGAAAGATTTAAGTAATAGAAAATGAAGAAAAGGAAGAAGGAATTTGGTTCTGTTTCTTTCGAATTTGGTCACTTTCTCTCTTTTTATCTTTCGGTGTTGCGTTTCTCACTTCTCTCGGGCTCTCTCTCTGTGCAAAAGGAGTCTATTATTTATTTGTTTTCTCAGTTGAAGAACCCACGACAGACTAAAAACAACCTTTTTCTATTTCTTTTTCTTTTAATTAATACTTATCGTGTATTTATGTGCATTTCTTTTCATTATTTTTTAATAATATTATTTTATTTTTGCAAAAGAAATGTTATATTCTTATTGGTAACGGAGTTTTTTTTTTTTTTTTTTTTTTTTTTTTTTTTTTTCAACAGCCTCTCTATCTAGAACAACTTAGGAATCCAAGCTGGTGATACAGAGTTTACATAATACACATCAGTAGGTAGAGCCCGAGCACTGCGTGCTAACTTGTCTGCCTTCGTGTTGTTCATCCTGGGTATATGGACAATGGAATATGAGGTGAACCCCATCTTGCATCTGTCGACCTCTTCAAGAAGTATTGTAAAAGCCGGCCACTCCTCCGGTTTAGACACCATCTTCACCACGTCGGAACAGTCCGTCTCAAACCCCATAACTAATTTGCTTTGCCGTAGCATACACTGTATAGCCCAGATGAGTGCTTCTAGCTCAGTCTGAAGTGGGGAGATTCCCTTTCTCAGATTACACGAGCCCATTAGCTTACTCTGTGTTTCTGGATTGAAATAATACCATCCCAGCCCAGCCCTACAATCTGTCTCCTTCCATGCTCCATCCACCTGACACCTGTCCCATGATAAAATGAGTTCCACTGGAGTCTGTGACCGTGGATGCTCTGTTTCTTGTTTTTCCTGGGCCTTAGTCCATGTCAATTATTCCGCTGTCGCTTTTGTAATTATATCATTAGGATCCCAATCTACATTCCCTAGGACCTTATCATTGCGAGCTTTCCAAATATACCAAATCAACCAAGGGTACATCCTCATCCTGTCATCATTTGGTAATTCCCAGAACAAGTATGCCATATTTGTAAACAAACTGCCTATTGGGAACCGAGATGGAGCTGTTGGAATTGGAGAGAGAGCCCAAACCTTAAGCGCTGGTGGACACTCAAACAGAGTATGATTCACTGTTTCTGGCGCCATCCCACATCGCATACATTGAGGGTCAATCTGCATTCCTCGACTTCTCAGCCTATCCCCAACCGCTATACAACCCGTCAGTGATTGCCATAAAAAATGTTGTAAATTTTGAGTGTATCGTACTTTCCACACATGTGCCTGAAGGCCCCTCGTATCCGGACCAAAGGCCGGGACGATGCTATCTTCCCGATGCTGTTGTGCTATCTCGTAGCCCGATTTAACCGTATATCTACCTGTCCGTGTAAAACACCATTCCATGGAGTCTGGACGGGAGGGGTATGACGTTGGGATCCCCAAAATTAGGGGAACATCCATACTATCAAACAACTGATTTAATAGTGGCAAATTCCACGTTGCTGTCCCGGGACTAAACAATTCACTCACCCGAAGGTGGGGGAAGAAGCTAATCCCAGGTTCTGCGGCTGGCCTCGGGCTAGGAGCTGGAATCCATGGATCCTCCCAGACGGAGATTGAGAATCCTGATCCAACCCTTTTAATAAGTCCTTTTTGTACCAGACGTCGAGCTGAAACTATACTCATATAGGAGGGAGAGTAAGATCTGATAATGTCCAAAGGTGTAGAATTCCGGTAGTACCGTCCTTTGAATACCCTTGCAAACAGCGATTCCAGAAAATCTATTAATCGCCATAATTGTTTGGCCAGTAGAGTCGTGTTAAAGTCCTCAATAACTCTGAACCCCAAACCGCCATCCTTTTGTGTCTGCAGAGCTTTCTCCATGCAAGCCAGTGCATTCCCCGTGATTGTCCACTATTGCTCCACCAAAAATTTGATACCGCACTCGACAGCTTGTTAGTTATCCCCTTAGGTAGACGAAAACATGACATAACATGTGTAGGCATCGCCGAGACTACTGAGTTGATAAGAACCTCTTTTCCTCCTTTTGATAACCACTTTGAGTTCCAACCATTTATGCGTTGATTTTGTCTCTCCACCAGGAAGCTGAATATTTTTGTCTTTGTGCCCACTAAACTTTCCGGAATCCCCAGGTAGTTCCCGACACCCCCCCACCGTGGTAATTCCCAAGGTCTGATGTACCTCCCGTCTCACGTCCGGGTCCACCGTATGTCCAAACTGAACTGAGGACTTCCCGAGATTTATCTGTTGCCCCGATGCAACCTCATATTCCTTTAAAATTTGGAGTAACACCCTGCTTTCCTCCCCAGTCGCTCTGCAGAAGAACAAGCTATCATCGGCAAAGAGGAGGTGAGATACCGCCGGACTCGCCCGAGCCACCTTTAAACCCGTAATCCTCTTCATCTCTTCTGCCTTGTTAATATTTGCTATGAGCACTTCCGTACAAAGGATAAAAAGGTAGGGGGATAATGGATCTCCTTGTCGTAGCCCTCAGTTGAGGAACAATTCTTCCCTTTGGTTGTCCATTAAGTAACACTTTATACTGAACTGAAGAAATGCACTTCATCATCAGAATAATCCACTGCTCTGCAAAACCCTTTTTTCGCATTAAGGCCTCTATAAATTTCCATTCAACCCGATCATATGCCTTGCTCATATCTGTCTTTACTGCCATAAATTTTCCTTTGCATGACTTGTTCGTCCGGAGCCCATGAAACATCTTCTCAGCTATCAAAATATTATCCGATATAAGCCGACCCGGAACAAAAGCCGACTGAGTTTCCGAAATTAACCGTGGCAGTAAAACCTTTAACCTCTGACACAGAACTTTGGAGATAATTTTATAACCCACATTACACAGACTAATCGGTCGGAGTTCCGTCATCCTAGTCGGTCTTCCCTTCTTCGGGATTAGACAAATGTGAGTCATATTTAATCTTTCATCCAAAGTACCCGTTGTGAGAAAATTATTGACCATCGAGAGAACATCCTGTTTGACTATGTGCCATGACCGCTGAAAAAATAGAGCCGTCATTCCGTCTGGGCCCGGAGCTTTTTCTGGGTGCATCATAAATAAAGCCTCACGCACCTCTGTTTCCGTCGCCGGCCGAGTCAAAACGTTGTTTTCCAGTGATGTAACCCGCTCTGATACGTGCTCTAGGACTTCCGTAAAATCCTCCGGTAAGCTTGATGTAAACAGTTTATCGAAATAAGTAACAGCTACCTGCTCCACCTCTTTTTTCCCAGCAACCCATAAGTTGGTCTCATTATACAGCCCAACAATCCTATTAACCGCTCTGCGTTGTTTTGTCGATGCGTGAAAAAATTTAGTGTTTAAATCCTCGTCCCTTAACCACATATTCCGACTTTTCTGCTTCCAATATTCCTCTTCATCTCTATAAGCATCCTGTAATTTGTTTGTGATATCTACGAGCTCTTCCTGGGTACTGTTATCATCGTCTTGGACCCTTTCCAACGCTTGTTGTAACTCTGCTATTCTTTGTTTTTCATATGGTTGATTTTCTTTCCTCCAGACAGATATTTCATGTCGGCAATTATAAATCATGTCAACCAAACCAAACCTGGTGTACCAGCGCCCCGAGCTACGTCCACCCACGATCAATGGAATCAATTAAGCCCTCCATCCCAATTCACTGTTTATCAAACCTAAATTGCTTCCATCTCCTGGTTAGTTTTGAATCCAGAATAGCGAGGATCGGCCTATGATCCGACCCAATCATTGGCAGATACTCGACATGGGAAACTGGAAAGAGATCATGCCATTCCTCTGTTTTTGCAAACTGTTTTTTTTTTCATTTTTGCAGTAAAGGATTTAACGTTTATAAATTATAATCAATCACAAAACCTGTAATTAAGAACTAAATTGATATGGATAATATAGTCACAGAGTTTTGAAAAAATAATTGGGTAACTAAATTCCATATTTTTGGGACGAGATTGCTCTTTATAACAAAAGCATGGGCTTGAAAGAGAGTGAGAAGGAGAATTGTTATACTATTTTCAATTTTGTCATGTGCTGTATATTATTGATATAGTAACCCAACTGATTTGTTTGTTGTCTTAGTATTGTTAATTCAAAATGCTCATGTTGTAATAAAAAAAAGTGACAATTAATCGTCCATGTCCTCTACAAAGTGACAATTACAAAACCTAAGAGAAACAAATCTTGTTTCTGTGAATTCAAATGCTCGGTATATAGAACATAGAAAGCCTTTATACATTTGAGCACTTTTTTTCTGCGATTTTCCTTTTTATATACTACTATGATACATTTTATTAAACTTGTTTATGCTTAAAAGTTAAAACCATCTTTTCAAATCATTTATTTATGCCAACCATCCATTTCATCCATTCGTTTCTTATGTTTCGATTAGTAATCAAATGAGCTATTGAACTTTATCGCCAAGTGCATGTGTATTGTCTCGTTGCTCTCTTGTCAATTCCAAAAATCTCAGTTTTTTATTTTCTAAAAACCTTTACCAATTACCAATAGGAATTGGTAGATGAAAAGTCATTATCTGAAAACACACAAGATGCGATTAGTGAAACACGCGTCGCCGAGTGAGTGAAAGGTAAACAAACATTTGAATTGCTCATATAATTAAACAACACACGAGACGTCAACGTAAGCTTTTTTAAAAAGTATGAACAAAACTGAAAAAAGGTCCCACGAAAAATGAATGAAAAGAAATGTCGGTGTCTTTACTCTTTAGTAGTTGACACATTTTCAGCGTTCTAAAAATCTCCTCCTCACGTCTCTGTCCTGATCATCAAAACTATCGAAAACAAATGAAATCATCACAAATATTTCATTTACTTGACTACTTTTTTTTTATCTATAGTTGGATCTTGGATGCAATAATACTACTACATCAGTTCTTGAATATGTCATATACCAAAAACAATTGCATTATGACTATTTTGTTAAAATGATCCAACATAACGTAAAGTGAGCATTTAGAAATACTCCATATGATTGTTAAAAGAAATTAACTACAAATGTTGCAAGGGGAAATTTCAAAACTACACCTCGAGATACCAATTTTCAAAAATACACTTCTATGGTGCCAATTTTCAAAACTACAATTTTTTCATTTAGTAAAAGAACTCTAAACCCTAAAATATAAATCTAAAACCCTAAAATCTAACATTGAACCCTTAAATCTAAATCCTAAACCCCAAAATCTAAACCCTAATATAGGATTAGTGAACCCAAACATATATATTAAAATTGGGGAAAGGTGTATTTTTGAAAATTTTCACACTATAGGTGTATTTTTGAAAATTTTCACACTATAGATGTAGTTTTGAAAATTTGCACCTCAAGAGGTGTATTTCATAAAATTTCTCATGTTGCAAAGAAAAAAGAAACAATGAGGAATTTTCTAATAGCTAAGAATTACAGTTCCGAGGCGGCCCCGGAGAGTTCCGACACACCGGACAAGTGCCGTTGATAGATAATCAGTAAGTTGACACATTCTTCTCAATTAATGTTCTTCTTTTTCTCAAATATTTATATTTTCTTACCGAAAGAGATGTAAGAAAAATATATAACAACCAACCACATCATAGTTGACAAAACAAAAACCAACCCAACCATACCATATTGTTTTTTTTTTCTTTGGCGAATCATTAATTCAATTCAATTAAAATGTCTCAGAGTCAAAATTTTACTTATGTTAAATGATTCCAACATATAAATTTTCTTCTATAGTAATGATTAATACTCCATCAGTTTCACAAAGAGTGACAACACAAAGAGTGTTGTTTGAAAATTTCAATACAAATTTTGACAAAACATTCATTTTCTAACCTCAAACTAAAATGATCATATATTTTAAACTTAAAACTGAAAAATGACAAAAAAAAAAATTCTTACTTGTTTTCATAATTTGTGTGAAAAATGTTAAAATGACATTCTTCATAATTTTCTGATTTTTATTCTCCTAAGAGTTAGATATATGCCTTGATGCCTTGATGGCCAGTATTTATTTTGTGGTTATTCTGGAATTCCAAATATGGAGTCTCCACCAGGTCTATCCCATGCGTTGTAAGCAACATAGCATAGCATGCTCAGGACAACCATTTCCATTCCAATTGAACCTGTCAGCCAGACTTGGAGTATATGCTTACCCCATCTGAATGAGAAAATCATGTGCATCTATTCAATGCACAACTGTAGGGGATATTTTGAGAACCTCTCGCATAGCCTCTTTAAATTCTTTTTCAGAACGGGCGTGGTTAAATCGTGCGGGCTTGTATCTTCTAGCTCCAAGATATGCAGGATTTCAAACCCCAATTCAAATGTGAGAAGACAAACTGATTCTAAAGTTGTACCTCTCTCTACTAGTACTCTGGTCACACTGTGCATACTGAATGCAAACCCCTTCCAATCGGCAATATGAGAGTAACAAATAACTTAAAAAATATGAAGATTCTGAAACACGAAATACCTCTCTTGTCCGGTGGTAAGAGGGGTACACCTCAATACGACGGTGAAGTTACCGGAAAACGGCAGCGTTATGGTGGTTCGGTTAAAACCCTTAGTATCGCACCATTGGTGAAACATCCCATCACCATAAACATAGTCTGCATCAACGTATATCCTACGATAACTCTCCCACCTCATTAATCAAATAATGTATAGACAAGCTCTCCTCTGGTTGTGAAATCCCATGACGTCTCAATAATACAGTAAGTTGTCTCGTTAGCGCAATAGCCTAGCAGACGCATGCATTATGTTGGTTCAAAATGAAATATACAAAAATTGAGTCTGTGTATGTGAAGTAGTCAGACATTACAGAAACCCTAAACCCTACAAACCTAGAGAGAGTGAGAAAATTGACTCTAGGAGGAGGTTTTATGAGTCAATACTTCCAATGAAATTTTTTAAAATGATTTCGTAAAACTAAATGGGTCAAAATGCAATTATTTGAATTTGTCATACTCCAAAATAATTTCATTTTGACTATTTTGTTTTCAGAATAATGATTTAAACTAACGTAAAAAAGCATTTAGATATACTCCATAATCCATATGACTGTTAAAAGAAATTAACTACAAATGTTGCAAAGAAAAGAGAGACAACGAGGAATTTTCTAATAGCTAAGAATTATGGTTCCGAGGTGGCTCCGGAGAGTTACGACACACTGGACAAGTGCCGTTGAGTTTCAGCCACTCGTCGATGCAGTCAGCGTGAAAGCAGTGCTGACATGGTGGTATTGTCTTGAGCGTCTCTTTAGGCTCGTAATCTGATAAACAGATTGAACAAGTGGCATCACCTATTTTGGGAAGTCTTTTGCTCTCTCCCAATACTATTTTTGGGTAAGACTCTATCGTCGGCCCATCAAGACCCGTTATCATTATACTGGACTGTAAATAATGGGCTTGAACGTTGTTGTTGTTGATATCTGGGCTTGGAACAAGACGACGACGTCGTTTGATGCATGAACTGATTTTGCTGTAAACAAAACAGAAAAGACCAAATGTGATTAAAGCTCCTGGGATTCCGGCGCCGATTGCTATTGCGTAACGAGCTCTTCTCGGGATAGCTGAAATTTAGAGGAATAGTTAACAAAAAGATGAGTCAAAAAATTTCAAAACATAATGCGATTGGTGGAAGAGAAGACTCTTAAGTAAAATGGGTAAGGACTAACGATTGAATGAGTTGACTAAAAATAGAAGTAGGAGGCAAAGTGTAAAGGCAATTTAAAGTGGAGAGAAGTCAAAAGCACTGGAGATTTTGTTATTATGGCAACGACCATTGTGTCCACTTACTGATTATCTATCGCCTAACTTCTCACATTCTTCTCAATTAATGTTCTCTTTTTCTCAAATATTTATATTTTCTTACCGAAAGACATGTAAGAAAAAGACATAACAACCAACCACACCATAGTTGACAAAAAACCCAACCAAACCATATATACCATATCGTTACCTTCTTTTTTTCTATGGCGAATCATTAATTCAAATCAATTTAAATGTCATTGAGTCGAAAATCAAAATTTTACTTATGTTATATGAATCCAACATAATAAAGTTTTTTCTGTAGTGTTGATTAATCTACATAACTAATAAGGTTTGGACATCTCAAGCCTTGACACGTGGCATTTTTTTTTTTTTTTTTTTCGCCTAACACCAAAACGACGTCGTTTTGCGCTTTATTTTTTTTTTTCGTCTTACACCAAAACGACGTCGTTTTCGTAAAAAAAAAAAAAAATCTAAATCAAAATTATGTGTAATGCTGTTCGTTTTGATGGGCTTGATTATTTATCGGACCTCTTCGTTTCCATGGTAGCTTTAAATGGGCTTACTGGCTAATTAGCTCATTTCATTTCCTTTTAAAAAGGATTGCAATTATTATTATCTATGAGTCTGTAGGATAATAATCAATCTATAATGATTGTTAGTATAAGGAAAATTAGAAGAACTCAACTCCAGTCGATAAATTATTGTATAAAAGAACAAAAAACATATGAAACTATTCACTATGAGTCTATATAAGATTTCACGTAAATAACAACTAAATTTTAAAACTATATGAAAAAAAACAAAATGCAAAACTTACAGAATCTAATATATTCGAGTAAAAAACAAATGATATATTCGAATCTAATGTTCTGAATAATTAAATTAAAAATATTTGGTTTAATAAACCCGCGCATTGCGCGGGTTCTCTCCTAGTATGATATAATTTTTGTTAGATGATTATCAGCAAAAGAATCTTGAAACTTCTGTTATATACTTAGATAAGAAAGGTTGAGGAAAATCAAAAACGCTTTTGATGTGTCATTTTTTCTCCACACTAAAGTTTTCGCGTTTACTTTTCTTATAAATCCTAGTTTTATGTACTTTTTCTACTATCTCTACATCGTAAATGAATATGCGATGTAGAAAGCCTTTGGTCAAAAAAAAAAAATGAATATGCGATGCGTGCAGTGTATTTTCGTGTTAATCCATTAGTCAATAGTCAATAGTCAATACAACGTAGATTCACATACTAATCTACATTAGTCAATTTATCGTGTTGAATTGTGTCATGTCATCATGTGTTTTTTTCGGATTTATACAATCAGGACGGACAAAAATAATTGGTTTATAACTCGTCATCCTACCGAATTTGTATGAATTTATATAATTCTATACACACAGAAACACATGACTCATTCAACACAGAATTTCGTCATGACCTACGTCAAACCGGTATATAACTATATTCTAATCGTCTTACACTCTTACTAATTTATTTTCACCTTATAGAAATGATTTGTATTATGGGTGAATTTTTTTTTAAATTACCTGGTTTATGAGCATCGGAGCAAATGGTTTCAGTAGAGGAATTGCTCTTAATCCCACACTTACCACCTCTAATCTCACACCGGCTACATCTCGGAACCCTCCACGTGAGCCAGAGGTCACCACTCAACTCCGAATACGACACGGTCTGCTCGTAAAACGGCCAACGAACCGGAACCTCGACGGTTTTCATTAACCGGCACGATTGAGACGACATGTAGTTCATCATCCTAGGCGACGCAGTGGCAAACACCGTGCTGTTTTCACCGCTCAAACACGTTATCGGATTCAACGGCCTGAACCGGAGATAATCCGAGGTCGGGCAGCTGAAAAACGTGAACCGACGTGCGTAAACGCCGCTAAACGGCGTCGTGGAGAGGTTTAGCTCCAAGATCCTTTTGGGAAGACAGTTGTTTGGGTCGTTGATCAGAATCTCTTGAGCTCCGTAGTTGATCCGTTCGACGGTGAAGTTACCGGAAAACGGCAGCGTTATGGTGGTTCGGTTAAAACCCTTAGTATCGCACGACAAGTCGAATCCTCTGTAACCGCAAGATTTGGATTGATGTGAGTTTAAACGGAACGGAAAACGGATAATCGGATCGCCATGGCGACAAACGGCGTTAGTGCATGTGGCAGTGGTCTTCGTCGGGATTATGAGAGAAAGAATCAAGAAAGAGAATGATATTACTTTTGTGAAATCCATTTTCTTTTTTTTTGTTTGAAACTAAAGCAAGTGACCAAATCCTTTTTGTAATTGAGAATTGGTCCCATAATATGTACGTAATCATTTTTAAATATTTGTTTTCTTTGACGGCAGTGTGTACGTAATGATTTTGATTTTATTAGATTTATTTCAGTATTCTACTGTCTATTTCCTGTATTTATTACATCTACATATAATGTCTGTGAGTCAAATAAACGATTTCGAGTACATTCGATCATGTATTCAAGTTAACGAAGGGAGAACAATAATTTGGTTTGAAAAAGGGAAAAAAAAAAATCTTGAAAATAAGATTAATACTATGGTAATTGATCCAAAACTTTGGGGGTTAAAACAATAATGACTGAATTATAGAATCCCTTTATATATAAAAAAAAAGTAGTAGATGAACTTTATAATTCATTTATTTATATAAAAAAAAATACAAACCTTTGACAAAAAGAAGAAAGAGATAAGTAGAAGGATTAGCTAGATAAAGTCAACTCTTTCCGAACAAGTAAGAGTGTATGACTATGAACAAATTCCAAAGACTTCCTAATGCGACAACATTGGATTTTTCATATCAATATTTTAGTGATTAAACAAAAAATGTCATCAAGAAAGTTTCCACGTTTAGCGAAAAGTCAAATCCCATAACGACATTGGACCTCTTCTCCTTCTATCAGCATTTCCACTGCATCAAGTGGAAGACCAATAAGCTCTATCGTTTTTTCCCAAACTTTGTTAGATGTTTCTATGTTCCGAGCTTCTTCTGAAGGATTTGTTGGTTGACAATTCTGAGATATGTATGCGCAAACGGATTTATGATTGGTTTTAAGTTTTTCGCAGTAGTTTGGAATTTGAGAAGCTGTGGCCGAGAAGAGTGAGCTTCGACAACCTTCTTGTGGTGAATAGATGAAGTAAGGCAGGGCAGAGTAAATATCTTGAATTAACCGAGGAAGATCTCTAGTCTGCAAAATTATATATCGAATTGTTATGCTATGTTGCATTTTGCATTTTGTAAACGTTATGAAGCATGCACTACGGAATCAGACTGATGAAATTCGGTTTGATCCGGTTATATGAAAAAAAAATGAAATATAAAATATGTACATTTTTTTTCATAAAACACTTTTGCAAAATGCAAGCACAAATACCAAATGCAAATATAAGTTTATTTTTCTGTTTTCGTTTGGTGTTGCTTTTATAAATAATAAAATTTGTTTTATTAAAGTGTTATAATACTTACAACGTTCGTTTGGACAACACCAGGTGATAAACAAACGACGCTAATGCCGGTTTCCAAAGGCAGCTTTTTGAAAAGAACATTGTTAAACATAACCTGACAGATGGTGAGAACAAGAAAAAAGTAATACGCTTTATCAAAAAAGAAAAGAAAAACGTAATACGTTTTAGATTATAGATAGAAACATTCTTTTTCTATCTTCTATATAAAAGTTTACCTGAGCGAGTTTGCTGCTAGAATATCCTCTCAAGCTTGAAAACTTTCGTTTACCAGCAACAAGATTCAGATCATTCGGATCGACAAAACCAAGATAATGAATCTACAAAAAAAAAACCAACAAAGCATAATTTCATAGATATAAGCAATGGAGGCATATATCATAACACTATTTGAGTGATCATGGATGATATATATACTTACAACAGAATTAACATTAATGATTCGACTTTGGGAAGCTCGGATAAGCGAAGGCAAAAGAAGTAGTGAAAGCAGAGCTGGAGCCAAATGGTTCACTTGCAAGTGTTGTTCATATCCATCTTTTGAGAATCTTTGTGCCCCTGCAAAGATCCCGATGGATTTAGGCTTTTAGCATATGAATTTTGAACATGAATTTGCATGGAAAATGAGAGGAAAAGGATATATTATTTATTGCTGTTAATAAGTTTGTACATAGCTTTTAATATTTATGTTAAGCGTTTTCATGTTCGTTTTGAAAACAGTTCAAATTTGTGTAAGAATATGTGATGACCTGTGCATTTCGCAGAAGCAAAGCTTTTTCATTATAGCGTTACGTACAGTTTGCATTTGCACTTTTAAAGATATATTCACGTTTGCATTTGCTTGCAGACACTAGTGAGCGCGAAAAGGTTTACATTTGGTATTCGTGGTTGCGTTAATGATTATCTTTTGATACTTAATTTTGAAATGGCCTAACATGTATTTAGAGTATGAGCAATGATGAATGGTTCAAAAGGATATGATCATATTGCTATTGGCCTGTTGCGTTAATGATTATATTTTCATCAATATAGGCTATATAGCAACAGGCCAATAGCAATATGTATCACAATAAGAAGGAATAAGCTTAAATACTTATAACTGCTAAAAACTATAAATACCAATAAAACAAACCTCCCATAGCAAACATGCCGGCATTGTTAATCAGAACATGCAAAGGTGCTAACCGTGCGTTCCACGCATTGCTAAATCTGACGACGGAATCTAAAGAGAGAAGATCAAGTTCCATCACCTTGAGAAAAAAAAATAGTATCATTGTTAAAGTTTATTGTCACTGATCCAATCCATTTGAGAGGGATCCATCTTAAGTCTTAACATTATAACCAAAAAGAAAGAAAATAGAGAGGGATCACAAATACACAATAGTTCTGACATATTTTTGATTTACAAATACGAATAACGAAACAAATTAAAACCTTCTTAATTATACAGTTCTTGAATAGATGATTATACAGTTCTTGAATAGATATTTGTTAAGGCAAGTGGTGCATCCACAAGAATCACTATAGGTTTTTTCAAACAATCTAAAACGGATATGATCATATATGTACTATAAAGCTGATAAAGAAAATCAATCAAAAATATACCTGAATATTAAGTGGGAGTCCTTTACCACTAGCAGACCACTTGGTCTGCCATTGTTGAATCAGCTCATGACCCGCTCTTGTGTTCCTTACCGCCATAACAACATGAGCACCAGCCTCTGCAAGCTGCCTGAAAATAATTTCACACAACAAGTAAACATCTTATAAAGGATTCACATAATAACTTATTTTCTCTAGCATAAAAAATCAAAAATAAAAAACTACATGAAAAAGAAATCTTGGACCTAGCGGTTTCAGAGCCAATGCCACTAGTGGAGCCAGTGACAATGCAGGTTAGGTGGTTTAGAGGAGGAAGAGGAAATGGGTTGTGTAAGTGAGAAGCCATTACTCTCTGAAAAAACATCTCTTGCAAAACATTAGACAATCCTCTTAACCACTCAATCCACCCTAAACCATCCATCTTCTTTGTCTTCTTCAACGTCACCTTTTCACTACTCATCTTCTTCTTCTTCTTCGGTGTTCACGACGCAGAGAGAGAGAGAGAGAGAGAGAGAGAGAGAGAGAGAGAGAGAGAGAGAGAGAGAGAGAGAGAGAGAGAGAGAGAGAGAGAGAGAGACAAAAGGACTATATATTGATTATTGCGTCAAAAATCTAGAAACGTGATAAAGCATGTGATGCCACGGACTTGCTGTCTTGCTGATATAATTAGTTGGCCATTAATTATATACTAGAGAACCCGCCATTTTTTTTCATATATTATCTGTTACGTTTGAAATAAAATTTACGTATCAATTAAACTACTGTTAATATATAGTCATTGTAAGGATGTTAAATACACAGAAAACTGTTTTAGAACGTATAACATACATCGACTTTAATGTTCTCTTGTTTTTTTCATGTTTTATGGTCACGTTAGAGATGAGTTTTTCTGCTTTGAAAAAAAGGAACTGCATCTCTGTATTTTTGTTTTGTAAGTAACTTTTTTGTTATGCAACCTATATGTTTAGATTAATGATTGTATAATATTAGTATGATGAATTTGTTTGCAACTTGCAACTTAATTCAATTTCTACAAAATTTTCATGGAAGTTATTTATATGAAGCTCATCGTATCTAAGAGTTTTGTTTGGCATTGGAATCTTGAAGACTTACTCACATACTCTTGACAAAGAAGAGAGGTCAAAATATTCACGAGAAGATCATTTTTTTTCTTTTGGCATAACTTTAGGAATAGTTATATAGCAAATGAATAGTAAAACTATTAAAAAATCAGTACAAATACAAATTTGTGGCACTAAAAAGTAAAAAGTAGTTAACAAGAGGCTTTTTAAACAATAATCAACAAAGAATGCCGAGAGCTATTCCCTAAGAGCCTGAGACTGATTCTTCATCTTTTAAAAATGAGTGTAGTGTAGAGTATTATAATGCACCTTTGAGGTCAAGTCCTAGAAGCTTCTAAGATGTATAAATGGAGAAAAAGATCAGAGGCTCTATATCACCTTGGAATAGACTTGTGAGAAAAGACTTATTCATGATGAGTTCCATAACGACATTGGACCTCTTCTCCATCGATAAGCCTCTCCAATGCATCAAGAGGAAGACCGATGAGCTCTATCGTCTTTTCCCAAACTCTGTTCGCTGTTTCCACGTTGTGAGCTTCTTCCGAAGGCTTCGTGTGTTTGCAGTCTTGAGATATGAATGCACAAATGGGCTTCTTCTCATCGGTTTTCAGCTTCTCGCAATGCTCTGGAACCTTAGCGTCTGTCGCTGAGTAAAGTGTGCTTCTACAGCCTTCTTGTGGCGAAAAGATGAAATAAGGTATCAGAGCGTATTTAACTTGAACAGATTTCGGCAGGTCCCTCGCCTGCATATTCATCGGATGTTTCAGAATGTGATCCTATAAGTTGTGAAGAGAAGAGCAAATAGAGTAATACTCACCACGTTTGTTAGGACAATCCCTGGGGATAAACAAGCAACGCTAATGCGAGTTTCTTGAGGCAGCCTTTTGGAAAGAACATTGCTAAACATAACCTGACAAGATGAAAATTGAAGCGAAATAGAAAGTGAAATCCAATTAGTTTCTGAGATCAAGAAACCGAAGAACAGCAAAAATATTGAAATAAGTTCACCTGTGCAAGCTTGCTACTGGAGTATCCTACAAGGCTTGTAAACTTTCGTCTACCAGATACCACATTCATGTCATCCGGGTCAACAAAGCCCACATAGTGCATCTACCAGAAGAAAAAAAGTAAACCAAACAAAAGATGATCTTGCATGAGATGGGAATAACTGCATACAATACTATATAGAACGTTGTCATCTGCATAATAGATTCAATAAAAGTACAAGTGCGGCAGAATTTCACAGAGATAAGCAAAGGAAGTAACTCTTTATATACAAGGTTAAATCTTTCGGTTTGTTTAGGTTCTGTATATCAAGAGAATCCAAACTTGTCAACATCATTACTGATGCCAGAGAGAGTACAAAACTAGAATGACAAAATTTTGCAGCTGGCCGTTGAAGTGATGATGATACTTACAACAGAGTTGACGTTAATGATGCGGCTTGGGGAGCCTCGGTTAAGCGAGGGCAAAAGGAGTAGCGAAAGCAACGCAGGAGCTAGATGGTTCACTTGCATGTGCTGTTCATATCCATCCTTTGAGAACTTCTGTTCCTCTGCATAAATCAAAGTGGCAAGCAACTTAGCTTGTTTTCCTCAACATGTTTGCAGGAAATGTAGCAAATCTGAAGGCCACTGATTACTAAATAAACTAGGGAAATACTAATCAGGAAACTACAGGAAGAATTACTGAATAAACATGCAAATTTCACCAGTTGGGTCCATCAAGTTGAAGTATAAACGATGGTGAAGGGTGCAAGATTATGACATTGAGACCTCAATGCTATAACAACAGGTTATTGATATGCAGAATGGTAAGCAAAGCTCAAAGCTTTTACAGCTAAAATGCAATAAAACTAACCTCCCATGGCAAATATGCCGGCATTGTTAATCAGAACATGCAAAGGCGCTGAACGAGCGTTCCACTCATTGCTAAATTTGACGACAGAATCCAGAGAGAGAAGGTCAAGTTCCATCGCCTTGAGTAAAAAAAAAACAATCTCACCATCATCAGCCATTTGGATGTTATGTCAAAACATACACTACACTTAATCTCCGAGATCCTTATCTAATCAAGATCACAACTAGTTCAAATTCCATGTTGCACAGTTTCTTTCTCTAATAGTATGTGATGACCAGATTTGTACCTCGATGTTAAGAGGGATGCCTTTACCAGACCAATCTTTCTGCCATTGTTGAATCAGCTCATGAGCTGCCTTTGTGTTCCTCACCGCCATTACAACACGAGCACCAGCTTCCGCAAGCTGCCTGCGATTTCAAAGCACATTACTTCACTAACAATTCAATTCCTTTTGAATCAACCAAACACAAAACTCGTCAAAAATCGTACGCAAAATTGGTTTATAATAAATCGGTAAAGCAATTGACCTGGCGGTTTCGCGGCCAATGCCGCTGGTGGAGCCAGTGACAATGCAGGTTAAGTGATTGAGAGGAGGAAGAGGAAGTGGATTCTGTAAATGAGAAGACATGAATCTCTGGAAGAGAAACTCGTAGAATACGCAAAGCCATCCTCTGATCCATTCAATCCACCCCAAAGCTTCCTTCTTCTTCTTCTTCTTCGTCATCCTCGACGAAATCGTTTCACTGCCCATCTTCTTCCTGAGACGAGAGATCTGTCACAAGACGCAACTATCGAGTGAGACAAAAACAGTATTTGCGTGGAAAAGATTTGTTTATTTATTTATTTATCGAGTGAGACCACACCTGGAACTTAGCTAAAACCACCTGGCAATTTTTTTTTAGTTAACCACAAACAGTGAATAATTTAATTTCGGTTTGGTATGGAAATGTCAAATAACAAACGCCTTATTTTTTTATGCTTGCATAATTATCAAAAAGATGATACAGTATATATATCAAATCAATCTTAAATTTTAAAATTATTGCTCCAAAACAAACATTCAAGAAATTATTCATTCAAAGCCTTTATTCTTTTATTTTGCCAAATATAAAGGAAAAAATAAAATACCGATCAAATAATTTTCACAAGATGCGAGTTTTAGAAATCAATTGTTTTGAGTATATGTTCAAATCAAATACTAAATCTCAGAAAACAAAGGCTCCGATCACACAATTTCCACTAACTTTATGAGGTGTAAGTTTTATTAACCAATTGTTTTAAGGATATGTTTAAGTTAAAAAAATAAATCTCATAAAACAAAGGCATCTGCCTTAAAGCCTACAATTTCCTCCTTTGCTTTTCATGCTTCACTATGTCATAATAGCTCCTCCACCAATCTATTTCTTGCATGTACAATAGTAGTACACTGATTCGTTTACATATTTTTGTTAATCTATATTCTATGACTATATGTTAGAGGTCAATCACAAAATATATATGGACTTCTTACCAAAATCACCTCCATGAATCGGACTTCTTACCAAAATATATATGTAACATTTGGATATATTACGTTATAGTGTTTCACGTTGATATTTCTTTTGTGTTTATAAAAGTCTCTTATTTTCAAAATGCAAATTGTAAGGTACTACTTACATATGAGCCATTTGTTTCAATTGGGGAGCAAGCTTTGCAACAAATAATACTTTTTGAAATTCAACTGAGAAAAAGATGAGAAAAGAATGATCTCCAAAATAAGTTATCTTTTGACTTTGTGGCAACAATTTTGTTCTTAAGAGCCTGATATATTTGGAAGATACCTCATCAAAATTGGCAGGACTATTATCACTTTTTTTGGGCTGTAATATCAAAAAACTCTTGTGATCTCTCTATGTATAATTAAAATTTTAGTTTTATAATCGCCTCAAACCTGACCTAGAGGCAGTTTATCTAAAACCACCTGACAATAATTAATCAGAAACAGAACCGCAATTTATTGCTGTTTGGTTAGGTTTTGGTATGGAGATGTCAAATAACTAAAAAAAAAGATGATATAAATAAATCAATTTAAATTATTAGCTACGTAACAGACATTCAAGAAAATATGTTTTTAAAGCTAAAGACAGCTAAAGACTCTACTTATATCTCTCTCTAGCAAAACTAGCCTTCTTCTAATGTACTAGACCAATGTATTATAAGCATACGTGCGGGTTTTTCCAAGTTATATAGTTTTAGAAAAATGTTCAAATAATTTTAGATTTGCGATTATCAATAGTATAAACTATAATTCAAATAATACCTGCATTTTAATTTCAACTTATCTGATTAGTAGCTGACTTTCAAATCTATATTTTGTATTATACCACACATCTATTTGCCATCAACTCTCTTTGTTTACTTACTACCACATTGAACGAACTTTGATTTCCCGTCTTTGTTTCGAAATTGAATATTTAGCAAAGAAATAAGATTTAGAGTTATCAATTGGAAGGAAGAGGAAAAGTCATGTCATATATCAAGTAATAGAGGGTTAATATAACCTGGAAGGTGAAACAATCGACGGTTTTGAAAAACATGTGTGTGATGACTACAACGGTTAAGAATGTGAAGAGACTATTCTCTTTAAAAGTTTTGCTATGTGTCAATCCAATGAATGTCCACATGTCAATCAATCATATGGATGAGAGTTGTCATATATTATGTATATGATTTGATTTCGGTTTGGTATGAAAAGGTTTGGTTTGGTTTGGTTTGGTAGGAAAAGTCTTATTTATTCGGCTTTGAGCCATAATGATTCAAAGAAAAAGAACTACATAATTATCAAAAAGATGTTAAAAATCAAATCAATTTAATCTTTAGCTACACAAAAGACATTCAAGAAATCGAAAATATGTTCTTTTAGAAGCTAAAGACTCTGCTTGTATCTCTCTCTAAGCAAAGCTAGCCTTCTCCTAAACTTAAACTTGTCATCTTTCATCTCCAGTTTCTCCAAAAAATGCAAAATCTTCTGGAGAGTAATAATGAGTTCTTCAGCTGTAGAACCAAACTCTCTCTCTTGGATCATCAACACCCTTTTCAGCAAACCGAGTACTTCTCCATCCTCTCTTCCTAATCTCGCCTGAATCGATACCAGACAGTCCAATGCCTCACCTGCATAGGGTATATAAGAGATTTCTTACCATCACTTATAGATTTATTTCATAAACATTGATGATGATGTTATGGAGAGAGATTTACCAACAGGGAGAGATTCTTTCCCAAATGCCTTCTCACGGATTCGTAAAACCTTCAAGGCTACTTCCTCGGCTTCCTCATCACGGTTCAGTTGAGAAAGAGTGACTGCAAGATTCAGCATTGGGAAAGTAATGGACTGATCCTCTGAGCCAACGGACTTCTCCATGATGTTCAAACAAGTTCTCAACAACCGCTCGGCCTCCACATGATTCTTGGAGCGTGAATAAGATGCTGCAAGGTTTACAAGATGTGTAGCCATGCTTGGATGGTTTTTCCCTCTGTATCTCTCGTTTATTAATAAGCATTCTTCTAGTAGCTCTCGTCCTTCGCTTCCCCTGTGTCACATGAAAGCGAATATGAATGGCTTCATAGAATTCCTCAACCACATGAACAGAGGAAAAAAGCTTTACCTTCCAACAAAATGAAGCAGCTCCGCAAGATCAATCCTCATGTTTTCCAAGATAGCATCGTCTATGGCCATGTAATTTGAATCTTTGATGATTCGTAGAGCCTTCTTGTAGAGATCTACTGCTCCATCTGCATCGCCTGAGGAAAAATACACCAGAATCACAAGACTATCTTCTTTTGAATCAAGAGAGAATTTTATAACCCACCTTTTGTGCACTTTGCATTAGCAAGTGAACACATAGCCATACCAACTCTTCCATCTTTCTCTCCGTATGCCTTCTTGTATATGTTTAAAATCCTACAAGAACGATGACCAAATCAAACGCATGACCGGTGAACAAGAAATGCAAAAACTTGAGACCTTTCCGCGTTGTACCTGGTAAAAGGAATCTCTGCCTCGTCAGCTTTACCTTCTCTGAGCAGAAGTTTACCGAGTGCAAACAACGGCACCACTAGATCCTCACTTTCACAGCCTCTGTTCTGTTCCAAGATAGACACCGCACGCTCGTAAACGCCGATAGCTTTAGTGGCTTTCCCATGTGAACCAAAACTCTTAGCCAACGCAAGTAATGGTGTGACAAGTAGAGTATCACATTCACCTAGAAGAGAAGTAAAAAGTTGGTTATAGTACCAATGAAAGACATATACCAAAACACAAGATTAGAAGAAAATTACCGTATCTGTTCTCTAATATACTAACAGCTCTCTGATGAGTAAGTAGAGCGTTTTCAAACATGCCTAGTGAAGAATACATACTTCCAACATGCATCAGTACTGAATCCAAAAGAGGTTCCGAGTCCTTTAACTTATCAACAATCTTGTTAATCTGCATTTGTTTTAAACGTTGTTATGCCTTAGACAAAAATACAGCTACAAAGCAATATGGTTTTTTTACTTTTTAAACTTACCATATGAAGCAATGCAGGGAGGGGTTTCAAGTCTCCAAGAGCCATATAACCCAATGCAATGATGTCAAGAAGAGCAGCTTGTTCGATACCTTGCAAACCCGAATCAATCTCTTCTTTCACAGCGACGTAATTAGCTCGAAGAAGCTCCATTGCGTCTCTTTCTTTCCCGGTTTTAACCATGGATTTGACTTCATTGAACAGCTCTTGCAACTCCATCTCAAATTCCTTCATCCCATTTACACTGTTGCTTTGAGTAGACCTGAGTCAAAGCAAACCAAATTCTTCATTTCCTGAGTTAAAACAAAAAAGTGACACAGAAATTGGTCAATCAATTTCTCACCTTTGAATTTCGGAAACGCCGGAAGTAGCAAGAGTCTTCAGCCTCATCGGAGCAGTTTCTGAGGAGGAACTTGTATAAAAATGGCGGGCGGGAATCAAGTAGAGCTTAGGTTTGCGTTTCTGATTGCGGAAACAGAGACACTGCCACGAGGAATCTCTCGAGGAAAGACCCGGCTGAGAACGAAATAGAGCCCTGAAACTTCAAAATCGAAAATTCAGCCAAATTCTTTAAAAGACCCAATTTCAGCTGAGAGAGAGAGAATCATTTACCAGTTGGTGAGCAAATTGGCCGGAGGAAGCAGAGAAGTAGAAGACACCATTGATGAGAGAGATAGAGAGATATATATAGAGAGAGAGAGAGAGAGAGAGAGAGAGAGAGCAAGGGAGGGAGTGTGAAGCTCTCTGGCTAAGGTTCCGCTGAGTCGCCGATCAGAGAGATAATCATAATAACTCCGGTGAGCGATATGACTGAGATAGGCCCAAAATAAGAGAATCTTACGAATTAACCCCAAACTTTCTTAATTTGACTAGATAGGCCCATTTACACATGTGGCATTTTAAAGCCTAGAAATAAGACAAAGAGAATTAGTCCCACATCGACAATGCTGAGACTCAATGAGCTGTATATATATAATTGTGTGAGATGACACGATTGGGATGCTTATGAGCCTATAGTACAGGTATAGAACCTGAATTAATCTGTAGCACCCAGGGCGTCTCTTTTGCATTTTGTTTTTCTTGCCGGGAAACTTGGAATCATGTATACTTATTGGGTTTGATGTCTTATTAATTAGCAACAAGTGGAGCTTTGGTTTATTTATTTTTCTCCTCTAATTGCGGCTAACCAGGTCATTGGCATCAATGACGATTTGGTGTATGCATAAGAATTTGGGTTATCATGTTAGGAATGTCACCATTTTATATAATCTTGGTTTGAATGAATGACATATTTGCCAACGTTGTCTCATGACAGATTGAAGTAGGAAACTATCAATAGTTTGACTTTGAGAATCCATTGGACAGTTCCTTGTGACAAAGTAATAACTCTTTGGTAATTTCAAAGGCACCTCATACTCACCAAATTGATAGTCTTTGGTAGAAGAACACTATCATGGTCTACTTAAGAAACTAAGAACTTTTAAGAAGCAGTTAACGACTTGGCTTTAGGACTACTAAAGTCTGATTGAGTAAAATATGATTTTAAAGACTTACAATTTTTTTTTTCTCCAAGGCTTTTAAAGCTAATTTGCCATTCAATGCCTAAGTCATTTCTGGAAAGTAAGGAGCAGAGAATAAGGAAGTGTGAAACTGAAGTAGTATAACCTTAAGTTGAGTGAGAATTAACAGAATGCAATATTACATCATTTCCATGAAGAACACAACATATATAGTATACAAGAGCAGAAAACAGCAACAAACTCTCACCAATATCTACAATCGAATCATCCGGGACTAATATTACCATATAAAATAGTAAAATCTATAGGCGCATGTAACCCATATAGACATTGAGAACATACCATTGTTGAATGTTTTGAATCAGCCATACATTTACCATAAAATGTTGGAAATGAGTAACCAACCGAAAATGTTGGAAATGAGTACCCAACCGATTTCGAAGATACCTAAGTGAAATTCCAAGAGAAGATGAAATTAGCCTCATAATCTTGTTGAAGTGGAGGGTTCAAATCCCAGTCCATTCACAAGTTAACGTTTCCTTTTTCCATTGTTTGGTAGGTGTATTATGCTTATTATATTAAATGATATCAAATTTTAAGATAAACAAAGTAAGTTATAAAACATGAAAAAAACTATTTTTTTTTTCTTTATCGGTTCATTTGGTATTTCTATATATTCTTCGTTGGAGATTTTGTTTTTCTTTTTCATGTTTCGTGCGTAATTTTCACTGAAATTTTGTTGATTTCGCCATATTGTCAACAAAACTTGCATTATTTTGATTATATACTTGAAATTTCTATAATAATTTGCACTATTTTGGTTATATACTTGATGTGATGAATGTTGGTAATCTCACAAGAGAGAGCGTCGCGAGCCACCTTCAGGTGAAAAATACCCTATGATTCTTCGTATTTTGTTTGCAGCAATTCCTCAACATGTATTAAGCATTTAATTCCCCCATTTTTCAGTTTGAGATTTTCAGATTGTTTGCTTGAATGTAATAGGAACAATGATGCAATGAAGTGACTTTAGTCCTTTTTTTTTAACACTTTTATCATCTTTACAACAAATGAGGGATTTATTATGGCTTAGGATTTCTAATTTTGCGATTTCCAAGAAACTCCATGGTTTTTTTTTTTTTTTGCAACGAACCTCATGGTTTAGACTTGTTAGATATGTGCATTATTGAGTTTTGGTGACATGTTTTACAATTCCGAAAGAGTTCCATGCATAGACAAAACCGAGTCTATATACTCAACAGGAAGAGCTACTGGGTCACGCAGGATGCGCAGAGATTCTCCAAGGCCATTAGAGGTATGCTGCAGCTTCAACCTCTGTTATCTACTTTCCTAAAGTGTGAGGTTGGGAATGGCAAGGTTGCAGCTTTCTGGTGGGATTCGTGGACTTCTTTGGGACCACTAGTTGACTTCATTGGACAGAATGGTCCGAGAATGCTGCGTCTCCCTCTTGATGCGCGAGTAAGTGATGCCACAAGAGGGACAAATTGGCATCTCCCCAATGCCAGATCGGATTCAGTGCAAACACTGCAAATCCTCCTGACAACCGTCCCGGTCCCACTGGAAGACGCAAGAGAAGATCTTTTTCTGTGGAGGAATGCCGCGGGAAACTATACCAAGGCTTTCTCCTCGAGTGGCACTTGGGACCAACTTTGTGTAGCCTCTCCTCAGGTTCCCTGGTCTAAGATGGTGTGGTTTAGGCAAGGAATCCCGATCGAGAGCTTCTTTCATTCTCTGGCTTGTCAATCTCAGGAGGCTTCCAACGAAGGATCGGCTTCTAAGTTGGGGCATGACGGTGCCAGCTACCTGCATTCTCTGTTCGCAGCACCCGGAGTCATGATCATTTCTTCTTCTCCTGCCTTTTCTCTGCGTCCCTTTGGCAGTTCTTTGCCTCTAGGGGTGACGAGTCAGGTTTTGCCTTCCAGACATGAGCTCAATTCTGGCAATCATGGCGGCTCCGCCTATCTCCACTTCGCATACTTTTATCATCATGAAACTGCTCCTCCAGATCATTGTCTACTCCCTTTGGCGGGAACGAAATGCTCGGATTTTCACAACAATAACCACTCCCTTTTGTGTGATAAAGGGTTTGGTGGATCGCACGGTCCGGGATCGCCTCCTATCTTTCCCCTCCGTGAATGGCTCTCCTTCTCTCCTAGAAACTTATTTTGGTTGTATCTCTTATCTGTTTTGATAAATTTTGGCTCAGTTCCTCTTTGGGTAAGTTGTAATAGGCAAGTAGGTAAGTAGTGTTTTGTTCATAGTAGCTCCTTTTGTATTAGTTGCTTTTGGTATAAAATCTTAACATTAAAACCCCAAAAAAAAAAAAAAAAAAACCGAGTCTAGTTAAACGAGCCAATAAAAGCCCAACCCAAACAGGATTATTGCCTTTTATAAATTCCTTCTTCCTCGGTGAATCTCTCTCTCTCTCTCTAGGGTTTATACTTTATATATAACTTTAACTTTAACTGCTGTTCTCAACTCTTCGCGGCAAAACTTGTAGCCTTTTTCATCTTCTCAAATGGCTAGTTCTGAAGCAAATTTACTGGGTAAACGAAAGCCTGAAGATGATTTGGAGATGGAACCGATTCCAAAGAAACAATATGAAAACTCCGAGGAGAAGGAGACGATGAAAAGATTTGCTGATACTCTCCAGCAGATCACAAGAAGGGTTGAGTTGTTGGAGAAAAAGTTTGATCATGCAAATTTAATCTCAGCGAAGGTATAATTTTTTTGAAAAAATTTAAACTATATCTTATGTTCAGTGAAGCATCTTGTTCTTATAATCTCCAAAATTGTGTTCCAATGGCCTACTCATGTAACAGGAGAAAGTGGAAGTTGTTGATGAAACTCTCGATTTTGTTGAGGTACTTGTTATTATCCTCAAAATATATCAAGAACTTCATAATGATGACTTATTTCTGTGGATGAATCTACTTTGAGATGTTATGCCATTTAATTTATTTCCTCCTTAAGAGTCGTGCTACTAACACACTATATTCAGGAAGCTGTCGAACCAATGAAGACGCTTTTTGTTTCCAATCTCTCCCAGAACATCAGAATGTTAGATATGTAAGTAGCATCTTAGTTAAGTTTCCACTTTCGTTTTCCGAACAAAGTTTTTTCAAAACATAATTTTATTCTCCATTTGGACAGCGTCGTTTTCTTCAAAAGTGTTGCACAAGTGGTTCGTGTTCGAATTATTGTAACCGACAAGGGCAAGCGTGCCTACTGTGCCTTTGTTGAATTTGCTTCTGCTGACGAAGCAAAGAAGGTGAGAGTAGTTTATACTTAATGATGAAAAAAGTTTTTAACTAGTTTGATAGAGATTAAATATTTTATAATTACTCTTAAGGCGCTGCAAGAGAAGAACGGTGAATATTTGTACGGTCGCAAGGTTTTTCTTGAAGCTGCTGATAAAGGAGCTAGGTACCGTCCACCCAAGTAAATTTATTTATATATGTTATGGAGATTTGTTTGGATTCAGCTTATTTCTAGGGTTTTTATGTAACGCTATTTTTTTTTTTTTTTTTGTTATATAGGTATTGCATTGATCACAAGGTTTGGTAAGGGATTTAACAATTTGCCTCTTGAGTTTGTTATCAATAGCACATTGTGTGCAGTTTTTGGTATACGTATGGATAGATCACAAGGGTTTTTGATATTTCAGGTACGTAGACTACCTTGAACGACCAAAAGAAAAAGATGAGACTGAGACACTTCCTTATTTTGGTGATGAGGTATATGTTCTTACTAATATATCAGGCTCTTAAGAACACAGCTTTGGGAATGATTTGATGTGGCTACTTTTTGTTGTTATGCGATTTATGTCTCCTTTAGAGTCGTGCTAACACACTTGGCTGTTGAATGCAGAAAGTAGTCTTTGTTGCCAACCTCTCTCCCCAAACAAAGCAAATGTTTCATATGTAAGTAGCACCTCAACTTTTGCACTTTCCTTCTTGGAGCAAGTTTTGTTTCATGACTGATATTTTATCCTCCATTTTTGACAGCATCAATTTCTTCAAAGATGTTGGAGAAGTTGTTGGTGTTCGACTTATTGTAAACCACGAGGGCAAGCATGCGGGCTATGGCTTTGTTGAGTTTGCTTCTGCTAACGAAGCTAAGCAGGTGAGAGTAATGGAAAAAAAAAGTATTTAAGTAATTTGGTCGGTTGTGTATAGTTATGATGAAAAATATACAAGTTTTTATTTGAAAGTAGGATAGCTGATTGCAAGTTTTAATATTATAGGCGCTGAACCATAAGAATGGTAAATATTTGCACGATCATAAGGTCTTTTTGATGGAAGGACCTGATAAAACTCCCGATTGTGTTGAGGTACATGTTCTTATTTTCTTTACAAAAATATGTCAGGCTCTGAATGTTGTCATGCAATATAATTCCTTTTCTCGTGCTAACACACTCACTTGGGTGTTAAATTCAGTTAGCTGCTGTAAGAAACAAAACACTCTTTGTTGAGAATCTCTCCCACGGCATTGGAGTAACAGATATGTAAGTAGCACCTTTAATTTAATTTCCTCTTTTGTTCTTGCAGCAAGTTTTTTCATGACTAATAATTTTATACAGCATCACATTCTTCAAAGATGCCGGAGAAGTTGTTCATGTTCGTCTTAATGTAGACCCCGCGGGCAAGCATCTAGGGAGTGGCCTTGTTGAGTTTGCTTCTGCTAGCGAAGCAAAGAAGGTGAGAGTAGTTTGTACTTTGTAGTAAAGATGATAAATATTTTAGGAGTCGTTTAAAGAGTGATGTATACTTATGATGAAAATTGGTTATTTGAAAGCACGGTTGCTGATTATTTTTTTTTTTTTTTTACCGTAGGCTCGGAAAGAGAAGAACGGTGCAAGTTTGCACGATAGCAAGATTGTTGTTAAGAGAGCTCGCTACCCTTGCCCACCCAAGTAAATTGGATATTTGTTTCCATTTGTAACTTATAGCTAGAGTTTTGATGCCATTACAGAAAATTAACACTTTACTTTTTGTGTTTTTGTTTATTAGGTTTAGCATAAATCACTACGTTCGGTAAGAGATTTAAACTATTTGCATGTTATCAAGAACACATTGGGTGAAGTTTTCGGTTTACACTGAGAGATGACAAAAGGGTTTTTGATATATTCCAGGGACGAAGAAACGGCAGTGGAAGAAGTTGATGAAACTCCCGATTTTGCTGAGGTACAATATTCTTAGTAGCTTGTCTCACAAGAAACGCTTTAGGTTTTTTTTTAAAGTTATTTTCTCGTGCTACTGCTAACACAGTTGGCTGGTTAAATTCAGGATGTTGCAGCAAGAAAGAATACGCTCTTTGTTGCCAATCTCTCTACTCCCCCGAATAGTTATAACTAAAGTTTCACATATGTAAGTAGCACCTTAAAATTTGCACTTTGGTTCTCGGAGCAAGTTTCGCATGCACGGCTGATATTTTTCTCCTCCACTTTTACAGCATCTGTTTCTTCAAAGATGTTGGACAAGTCGTTGGTGCTCGACTTGTTGTAGACCACTGGGGTAAGCCTGTGGGCTGTGCCTTTGTTGAGTTTGCTTCTGCCAGCGAAGCAGAGAAGGTGAGACTAGTTTATACTAAAAAAAAACAAGAAGTGTTTTGTCTGAAAGTCTCTGATTAAATCTTTGGTTATGAAACTGTAGGCGCTGAAACAGAAGAACGGTAAGAAATGGGGCGGTTATAAGATGTTTGTTGACGTGGCTGAGATAGCTCCATACCCTTTCCGACCCAAGTAAATGTTTATCAAACTTCTTGATATAGTTTTCATGTCAGAAAGAGGAAATTAATTAACGCTATTGTTTTTGTTCATCAGGCACAAGCGTGCGGAGGAACTTTGGTAAGGGATTTTAACTAAATTTGCCGTTTAAGAGTTTTGTTATCAATAGCACATTTGGTGACGTACGTTTTCGTAATACATGGAGAGATGACAAAGGTTTTTTTATATATTCATGCAGGTGCCAAGACTACCTTCGACGAGAAAGCCATGATTTTGATGCATTCCAGTCAATCTTGCCCGGTGAGGACGAGGACGACTACGACTACTGTTAGAAGAAGCTCTTTGTTGCTATTTTTAACTTGTGGTGATACAATGCTGCCTGCCTTCCTGCAACTCAAGTTATATAATCTTACACATTACTTAAATAATTATTTCAGTAATGTATAAGATTATGTGTGTATGAACTTATATATACTTATGTGCTTTCTGCTGCCACTTAATGATGCTTTCTTTCAGTTATTTAAACTGTTGTTCTGTTTTCTTTAATTAATAAGATACGAAGAATCTTTTTCGGAATAGAGATTGTACCGGAAAAAATATGATATTTAAATCAGTACACTGCTAAAAATAAAAACTCTAGAGCATTACCATATTGTAATGATCTAACAAACAAATTGATGTTTTGCAAGTTGACTTATCGCTGCTATATCTTAGTCATTTATACGGCACTTCTCTATATTGCTTGCAACAAATATTACTAACCAAGAAAACTACAATTGTAAATAACAAGAAGAAGCTGGACGAAGAGAATTTGTGTAACATCCCGGTTTATAATAAATGAGAAGAGGTTAAAAGAATTGATTTGGCTATCTATGTCATTAAAGTGTACTTACATTTTCCGTCAAGGGCCCATAAAGAACTCCAGAGTTAAACGTGTTTGGGCTGGAGTAGTGGAAGGATAGGTGATCTATCGGGAAGTCCTCTGCGAAACCGTGTGAGTTAGGAAAAAACACGGGAAAAGGTCGGGTGATGATTGCAGGGATAGTAAATACATTCTCCGAACCTCCCAAAAATAACGCACCGACCGTCAGACAGGGGTGGGGCCCACAGACCAAGAGAGGGCGTGGGTGACTCACCGAGAAGGGCGGCGGGAGCGTTACAATTTGTCCCACATCGACTACGTTGGGATTCCTAGAGCTGTATATATATAGTTTGTTTGAAATGCTTAGACCGGGTTGCTTACGGGTTGCTTACGGGCCTATAGTACGAGGTAAAGAGCCTTGAATATTCTATAGCTTCCGGGGCTTCTCTTTTGCTTTTTTTGGAACCGAAATCATCTGGTTTTTCGGTTTGCGATTATGTTCTTATCTCATAGGTCACAACAGCTAGAGAAAACGGAGACAATTAATTGTGACTTGTGAGTCTGTCACAGTCGAACGAAAACGACTTTTCAGGTAATCTTAAGAATTAACCCCAAACTTTCTTATTCGTCATAAATAGACCCTCAAATTTTAAACCATGATTTCCCATCCTTCTTACAAAACTCAGGTGTGCATACAAAACTCGAATCATGGTTTAAATTTAAAACCAAATCAGACCCGGTTCATACAACAACGTAGAAAAGAACAAAGGAAGGAAAATGCAACTGATTTGTGTCATTAAACTACAATGCTTCTACAATTCCAATGCTACAGGAAACAAATTAAAGTAGGAGAATCCATTGAACAATTCCCTGTGACAAAGTAATAAGTCTTTGGGAATTTCATAGGCACCTCATACTCGCCAAAAGTTGCCAATGACGGCGTTGGTAGAAGAACACTATCATGGCATGACAAAGCTGTAATGGTGACTTTAAAGCATGATGACAAACTACAAGATGGAGCTGAATGTGCTTCGCGGGTATATTTTGTATTCATGTACTGTGTGAGAAGTGTTGGTATTCTGTCTCATTTAGGATGATATATGGTAGTATATGGTCTTCCTATGTTTTTGTTTTTCAGTCCCTTGTGTATGGAGGAAAGAAGAAATAGGCTTAGCACATGCATTATCAGCAAAAAAAAGATCAGCAGAAAATGAACTGAGTTATTGTTCAGCCCAAACCAGATTATCTTTATATTATTAATTGAGAAGTACATTTCAATGTTTGGATAGAAGAATAAAGGAAAAAAAGTGTTTGCATACAAGAATAAGAGAAATAATTGTTTGGATATATACAAGAATAATAACTTCAAACAAACTGATGGTTCAAAAAAAAAAAAAAATCTGAATTTCTTGGGTAATAGATGTGAATCTGCACAATAACTTAAAATAAATCGGATGATGGTTTAGTCAAACCAGAAATCAAATAATTAATTGATTGGTTCACATGCTCCCTCATAGGGTGATTGGGTCGGGTTTGGATAAATACCATTCAGGTCCGGGTCTATCAGGTAATTGATTTTTGAATCCATATAGTACCGAATGAATTTGGGCTCGATATCAGATCATCTATTCAGGTTCGGGTATCAAAACTAAACATAACCCCATGCTACTACTGTGCGGGTCGACTAATAATTTTTCTTTAAGAGACTTTTATAGACTTTTAAAGAAAGCCCAACCCAACCAAACCAGATTATTTTTCAATAAAAGATCTTCCTCGGTGGGTTTCTAGAGATATTCGGAGAGCACTCTTATTGGAAATCAGAAATCTTCCCGGAAAAAATGAAGCGAGTTGGTCACTTATCTTTGGAATGGAGATGGCCATTCCACCCATTTCATCAAGATAAACAAGCCGAATTCTATCATAATTCGTTCCTGCCAAGAAAAAAAGTGCAGCGCCAATAAATCCATGAGAGGTTATTTGTAAAATAGTTCCATTAAGTCTAAGATCCGTTATAGAACCAACACCTATAATTATAAAACCCATATGAGATACAGAAATTGGCGAACCCATGTCATAAAAAAACTAAAGTCACAGGAGGAACGACTCTCTTCATGGCCGGAATTTCATTCGAGAGCACACTGACCCAAATGTAAGTTTTAGCATCCGTTTCAGATCATCTTTTTCACATCTTTTCTATTCATGTCGTCCTCTATTTTGAGTTGTTCGGGTTCAACAAGTTGTAAGAGAAGGTCGAGCTGCCACGCTTGTGGCATGTGCCTTTGTGGAGTTCTATTCTACACAAGAAGCACAAAAGGTGAGAGCAGGGTAGATTATACTTTCTTAGCTAGTCAGTCATGTTGTTGATGGATTGCTTGATTATGAGAGTATCATGGTAGGTGCTTGAAACGAAGTAGGGAGAACTTTTGCATGGAAAAATGAACATTGCGCTTACTTTGGCTAACCAGGAAGGTTACCATCCACAGAAGTAGGTTGATTTATGTTATGAAGTTTTGTTTCCAATTGCTAGATTTTTGATGCCATTACATGAGATTAATGCTGTTTCTTTTCTTGGTGAATAGGTATTGCATAGATCTCAAGCTTTGGTAAGGGATTAAACTATTTGCGTTTCGTTATCAGGAGCACACAATCTGTACATCGATAAAGCTTCTCTTTTGCTTTTTTTTTGTTGGGAACCAAAATCATCTGTTTTTTACGTTTGCGATTTATGCTCTCTTTCACAGCTAGAGAAAACGGAGACAATTAATTGTGACAGATAAATAGACTCATTTACACCACTGTGACCCTGCTTAATAATTGCAGAAAACCCGAAATTTTATTCATCTTCTTATTCTTCTTATGGTCGAATCCGGGTACGTGTTGATACAAAAACTCGAATCATGGTTTAAATTTAAAAACCGGATCAAACCCGGTTTAAACAACTAGGTAGAAAAGAACAACGGAAAATGAAACTGATTTATGCCATCAAAAACTACAATGTTTCTGCAGTCCCAAGACTGAAGTAGACAAGAAAACTATCAATGAAGAAAGAGTTTCTAAGGTAGAGAAAGAAAAGTTTAATGGCCACGAACTTTGACTTTGAGAATCCATTGAACAGTTCCTTGTGGCAAAGGAATAGTCTTTGGGAATTTCAAAGGCACCTCATACTCGCCAAAAGTTTCCAACGGCGTTGGCAGAACCACATTGTCCGGATCAATCTTCACACAGAGCTGTCTCGCCACCTTGAAAACACACAAACCAAATACAGTAACTGATCATGACAAATTGACAATATCTACTACTTACATGTCACATAGTTGATAATGATGGTACTAAGGAAGGAACAATTTCTTTACCTCAGAGACTATCTCTTCTTTCGTCACAGGCGTTTGTACATCAGGTTTGTCCTCTTTTGAGGAGCGGTTTTTGAACTTTTCCTTGTCAATCAACTTCCTCAGTACCTGTTAATCAATCAAACAAAAAATGGGTCTCAAAGAAGCAAGTTCCTGAATATACCACAAGAGCAAGAATGTTGTATACTAAGTTTTAAGAGAGGGTTAAAGTAAAGTTACCAAATTGGCATTTGCGAGGCGCTTTGCGGCCTTTTCAAACTCTTTTGTCTGGACTTGAGAAGTTTTATGAACCACCTTAACCTCTTCCTTTTCTTCATAATTACGCATCTGCAACAGATTCCCACCAAGAAATCAAATATCTACATAGCTAAGCACCTATAAATTTACGAAATAACACTATCAAGGCAGGTCAAAACTATCTGCTTAACCCTCTAAATCAAGAACACTATACACCATCAAGAACACAAACTAGAATGGTGCTACAACCTTGTATAAGACCAGATAAACTAAATCGATATTTTGCAAAGATAAATAACAAGTATCAAGTGTGAAAATGTGAAGTGTATATTACCTTGCGTTGCTCTCTTATGAGATGAGCATATTTGTCAATGTTTGGCACAGCAAGAAGTTTGGGCATAAGACAATTCCTGAAGTATCCAGGAGCTACCTTCACCGTCTCACCTGCTTTCCCAAGCTTCTCTATCCCCTGAAAACCACAAAATCAAAAACAAACCTTAACATTTGATTAAATTCAAATCCAAGGAAATGAGAATGAAAAATTGACTTTTTGTTAATGGAAAACTCAGAAAAAGTGAAATGGATTCGAGAATCAGTAAGTGAACGCACCGTAGTGAGAATGACTTCCAATTTTCTGTAACGAACTCCTTGACAGGCGAAGAGGAGAGGATGATGGATCGCATTTTCAGATTTGTGGAAAGCCGTTCCTCTGTGGACTACATGCCGAATCACGTTTCGGCTTTGCGCGACATGAGCCATTTCTCTTCCGATTCAACGAGATTCTCTGCCGACGACGGAATAACAAAGAGATTCAACACTAAAACCTAGGATACGAAGGATGTGAGTGAAACAAAAGAGAAGATAAAGGGAGAATCACCAGTGGAGCGGCAACGGTGAACGGCGACGGCGGTGGGATCCGATTCGACGGCTCCTTTTCACGAATTAGAAGAATGGCGAGGTTTTAGATGTGGCCAATTTTGTAAAATGAGACTTGTATATTTAATTATTCTCTTAACCCTAAACTTTTTTGGTTTACCAAATATTGCCCAGTGAAGAGAAACGCAGCGTTTAGGTTTGTCTAAGCTAAAATTGACATGGTCTGCAAGGTTTGTCTTAGAAAAACTGTAGCTTCAGGGTTGAGATAACAACTTGCTGTTTTCAAAACTAATTAAACACCACGCCGGATTTACAAAAAATTTACAATGGATTAGTGGATTTTTATTTTTTATTTCTCTATTTAATGGATGCTGAATTTTTTTTACTATGGATGAATTCTCATTACATCTATTCATCAGATATTTTGTTAACTATCGATGAATATCATTGATTTCTTGAAGATTTTCAAATTCACCAAAAGGTATCTTGATAGCTTCACCTCTGAAACTTGTATCCAATAATCATTTCATAACTTACATTGACAATATTCTATTATAAAATCAAGCGGAAAGAAAATTTATAACTACATGAATGAAAATGTGCAATAATTGATCATATTTTGTATTTGAGAATCACAAAAATGAGTAAGAAGATTATTGAGAACGTTTACTAAGAATGTGAGAAATTCTTGAAGAACTGAGATGTATTTCTTTATTTCCTTTTTAGTTTTCAGTAAAAAAAAATTAACTTTAAAATTGTTGTTAGGGGGTTAGATGTTATGTGACACACTAAATCTTGAAAAACAATCATTTGTCCAATGTTGATATGGACAAATTACTCTTTTTAAACATTTTTCTCCACAGTTATCGTCGTGGGATAAATTACTCTTTTTAAATATTTGTCCCTAAGTTTCCGATGTGGGACAAGTTACTTTTCTCGGATGTGAGACAAGTTACTTTTTTCGAACATTTGTCTCACCGTTATTGATGTGGAACAAATTAACTATTTTCATTTCTAAGACACAACAATAATATTTGTATGGAAAATGTTGGATTAAGATTTAATTATTTATTAGTTTTTTATTTAATCACCTCACTTTTGGAGATTAGCTAAAACCACTTGACATTTATTTAATTAACCCAAGAAAAAACTCATTTTATTTCGGTTTGGTTAGGTTTGGTATGTAAATGTCAAATAACAAAAGAATTTTTTTTTTTCTGTCTTACATAATTATATAAAAAAATGATATAAACCAAATCTATTTAAATTATTTTACATAACATACATTCAAGAAAATATGTTCTTTAGAAGGTAAGACTACTTGTATCTCTCTCTAAGCAAAGCTAGCCTCCTCAAACTTAAACTTGTCATCTTTCATCTGCAATTTCTCAAAAAAATGCAAAATCTTCTGGAGAGTAATAATGAGTTCTTAGCTGAAGAACCAAACTCTTTCTCTTGGATCATCAACATCCTTTTCAGCAAACCGAGTACTTTACCATTGTCACATCGGCTTAGTTCCTGCAATGCCAGACTTATGAATCTTCAAGGGCAGATTAAGCAACACTAATAGTCTGGAGAGATGAACGAAAGATAGACGTGTAGTTTCGCTACCCAAAATAAACAAAGCAAAAGATTACCGAGAAGAGTTTGAGAACAGCAATTAAAGTAGTGTATTTATAAAAGGATAATCTGGTTTGGGTTGGGATTTTCTTGATATAATAACCACCAAAACTCACGAACGCATGTAAAACATGGGAACTCTTGGGAAATCAGTGGCAAATTAGGAACCTAAAGCCAGAGATTCCTCCTTCATGGGAAGATGATAAATTATTGATAAAAACAGACCAATTCACTTCATTGTTTAACTTGTTCATATAAACAACCTTCCTTGGATATGTTTACAAGCCAAAAGACGGCATATTAAGCAACCCTAATAGTCTCAAGAGATGGACAAAAGATATAGTTTCGCTATGCAAAAGAAACATAAACAAAAGCCTACCACCTGCATTTCTTGTGTTGCAAGAGAAGAGCTCAAGCTTCACATCCTCTCTATATATATATATCTCTACTCTTTGCCAGTCAAAGTACGACGACTTCACACGTGACAGAGCGTCTTGGGATTCTGAGGAGGCTCTTGAAGATGACATCTTGTGTTGCACAATTTAGACGTAACGTCAGTTTATTGAGGATAGCAGAGCTCTCTAGCAAGTACCTTATTAGCTTCATCTCTGCAACATGTCCCGAGACGCTGGTTTTGATGTCGACAGACTCAAGCGACGATAACAAGCACTCTGGCACAGAGGAAAAACTTATTTGATTCATCTCCTCGGACTACATCTTCTCATAATCACCAATCCATACCTGAGGATTACACAAAACGTAAAAGGTTAAGACAGACTCTTCATAGAGATGAGACAAATCATAAAGTTAGGGCAAATCATCACCAAGATGAAGGATTTCAGGTTGGGGCAGATGTCGAGAAACGTTGGTAACCATTTCATAGCAGTTGGGTAGAGCTTAGCATGGAGGATGGACAAGTTACGAAATCGAGGCACCGGTTCAAGTTTCGAGTAGAGACAGATCACCTGGTAACAAAGACAGAAAATATATATTAGGGTTAATAAACTTTTCTTGACCAACAAGTCAAGAACATGTATTTGAGAGACGACGATATACCTTGAAGGTGGGCCACCATATGGTCATCTCCTTGATCCCTGAAACTCCCGGGAGAAATTCACTGACCATACTTGTCTTGGTTAAAACATGTGCTTCATCAAACTCCCCCTGGCCCAAACCAAAGGCGAGCCAAATATCTAACTTGGCATTGGGGTGTATATTCTTTACTATAAATCTCTCTGACAAGTTATCTATGATGCTCAAAAAGCCTAGTAGAGGAGCATCAATCACAACTTGTGAACCAACCTCATGACCACAAAACATCAAGTTTATCTTCAGCTTATTCAGTGACCTAGAGGACACCCGAAAGACTGTTGAACCAACAGTTTCACACCCAACAACCGTCAGTTCCTCCAAGACGGGACAGGACGAGACGAGTCCCTCAAAAGCGGCCTCATCGGGATAAAAAACAAGCTCTAGATGCATAGTTCTAAGGCAAGGTAAGGAAACTGAGCCGGCGATGCTAAGCTTTGATGACTCGGCATCACGGAAGCTCACCTGAAAGAGTTTCAAGTATACAAGTGTCTTGCAGGTATACAAACTTAGGGGCATCTCGCAGTTTTCAGGCTCTGAATCATATCTAACGTCTAGATGTTGGATCTTCCGCTTGACTAAAGCATCAATCCACGAGGTGAGATAATCGTCACCGTATAACTTATTGTCACCAATATATAACTTGACTTTGTGTATGCAAGAGCCCCTGTTGGCATCGAAGAGCCTGTAGCCAAAACTTTTAAAGGTATTGAAATCTGGGAAGCTTTCGGAGCTCAGATCCAAACTAGGAACCCAGAGCCAGAGGCTCCTCCATCTAGTGGATAAGACGCTTGTGCTAACAGTTTCCTTTGTGGAGAGATGAGAAAGAATCTGACATATCAAAGGATCTGGTAGCTCGCTTATCCTATCTAATCCCTTCAATCTATTACTATTCCTTTTGGAACGAGCCTGTATGGCTTTCCCTCTACCAGCCATTTTTTATTTCCTTATAGAGGCGGAAGAAGAAGAACTTACGGTGTGTCGGAATGCAATCAATTGCCGGCGGAACTGTCAGAGAGGTGGTTTCGCCGACTGTGAATGGGATGGGTTGCCGGAAATTGGGGAATATTAGTCGCCGGAATTGTATTTGCTGCATTTCTCTGAACGAGATCGAAGTACAAACAGTGAGGTCTTTTACAATTAAAGCCCAACAATCGAATATTTGGGCCGAAATTGACATGTCTTTCCATAATATTAATTTGTTTACAGCAAATTTCTGAGTTCATTGGAAGTTCACCATAAATTCCCTTAAGTTTAGAACTGATGATAATCTCGACAGATTATGTAACAAATTTAACGAAATTCGTTTTCATATTAAGGATTAGGGTTGATTAATTGAAAAAGTGAACAATACCATGGAGAATTAACAGTAGAAAAATTCTACTCCCTTCATTTCTTTTTATTTGTTGTGGAGATTTTCATATAGATTAAGAAACTAGTTAGATTTATTGTTTTACTCCTACTTAATACAATGTTTTGTTTAATATGACTTGTTAATAAGCCAAAACTATATTAAGAAACTGAAAAATATCATAAATCTACATTGAAAATGCAAAACAACAAGTAAAATGAAATAAAAAAATAAGTTCAGAAATAGAGTTGTCAAAGTGGGCGTCCATGTCCATAATGTCCCGTCCAATAATGTCCATATTATTTTGTGGACACATATTGCCGGTGTCCAATTAGGCCTATGTCCATAATAACCCATGCCGACCATGGGCTATCCATGGACAACAAAGACAAATTTTCGAAAATGTAACATAAAGTGGTATAAATTACCTAAAAATGTTTGGAAATTCAAATTACTATTCGATAAACTAATAAAATTGATAAATTTATTTAATCCCAAGTTAGACTATTGTAAAATATATCACAAATCGATAAGATAACAAGATAATAACTTTTTAAGTAACATTTGCAATATATAGTCTTATTGATATCATAAATAAATAACTTTCATAAAAAAAATCTTATACAAAATATTACCTATAATATTATATTAAAATATAGGTATCAATTGTTTGTTTTTAATTAAATTTAAATATTTTAAAAACTTCTTTCTAGTTTTAGAATAAAATTTTAGAAAATATTATAATTTTTGTACAACATATTTTTTTTTAATAACTTTGATAATAAGAAAAGTATTTAGTCAAAACTAATAAATTAACAACTTTATAAATTAGTAAAATATCAAAGTCTCAACATTCTTAATTTATAGAATTGCACAAATAATAATTGGGATAATAAAATTTGTGTAATTGTATATAGTTCAGAAACTAAATGAGGAGCATTTTCTCTGCGCGTGGTCTGGTTTTGGACGTTTTAAGATCTTATGGTGGTGATTGACGGTGCAGATTAAATCATTGGTGAATGAGGTTTTGTGACTTGTCTCTAGTTTAGCAAATAGTACGCCCTATGAGTGTTGGTGGATTATAACAAGAACATGTACCTAAACGACAAGGACAAGGCGTGAATACTTGCTGGATTACCAAATGAGACACATCGATTTAATTATTCTTTTAACTCAAACTTTTTTGGTTTACCAGTAGAAACTCTATAAATTAATAATGTTTGGATTTTGATAATTTATTAATTTATAGAGTTATTAATATATATAGATTTGACTAAAAATTGTTTAAAAAAAAAGAAAATTCAATATCACTAATCTTTTAAATTTTTTTTCAAATTAAATAAAACCTTTCCTTCATATGTACATTTTCTTATACTTGCTATATTGTTTTTTTTTTGTTTTTTTTAGTCATATCGGTTTGGTGTGTGAGAGATTCATATTTTAGTAGTTAGATATCTTAGGTATATATTTATACTAGATTAAGACCCGCGTATACGCGGGTATATTTTAAGATTTTATAATAAAAGCATGGAAAATATTTAAAAAATTTGATCATTTTTAAGTATAAACAAAATAATATTGAAAACCCGATAAAAAATATTGAAATAAAATAAGATTGGTAATACTTTTACATTTTTATTGTAACTGATTTTCCTTTTGAATTTATGATATGACAAAATGAATTAATTTGTTTTACTATTATTTTTATCCAATACAAAAAGACTTACACATTTACACATGTCTAAATCTGATCAACTGATTAATTAATCAAACTTTTATTATTCCATTCAAGAGATTTCAATTGATGAAATCTTTATTTCAATTTTTTTTACCTAACAAAAGTTGAAAATCAAACTATTTAAAATTATTTGTTATCTTTTTTTCTAATTTTTAGTTAGTCTTATAGATATTAATTTTTTTTATTTTTTATTTCATGACATATGTTACGATCTTCATACTTCCAGATTTTTTTTTTCTAAAACACATGTCGCAATTTTGTCAGTTATAAAAATCCTATGTATCGCAAAACTTTCAAAAATATGATTTTTAAATTGGAGAAATAGAATCAAAGGGATTTGATGAATTTGCTTTGGTGAATTTGCTTTGATGAATTTATGATTGAGAAACCTTGACTTTCTTTTATAGGTGTTCAAGTAACCTATTATACATGCAGTTATAGGAAATTTAGTTTACATAACATATTTCATGTACAAATAAGATTTTATTTCTTACATTATTTTGATTTTATTATTTGTTTGGATAATATTAGTTTGATGAATGAGAAACATTTCTCTATTAGAATATAACAAATATATTTTTATTTCTTTTTAACTATAATGGATTATTTTTCTGAAAGTTCCTTTATCTAAAATTATTATCATTATTATTATTATTATTATTATTTTCTCTAAGACATGTGTCTCGATCTTAACGGACATAACATTTAAAGTGACACACGTCGCGATCTTATAAATTATAAGAATCCTATGTGTCGCAACCACGTCGTGCACATCCAACTTTATATAATAAAAAAATTTTGATGAAAGGGAAACCTTTTTCTGTTTAGATTTGGCAAATATTATTTTTTACTTTTTGATATAATAGATTAAATTAATTTTTTTTTTTTAATTAACATTTTTCTGATTTTTTTTTAAGTTCTCATTTTTTCCTAAGACACGCGTCACGATCTTAACGGACATAAACTTAAAAGTGACACATGTCGCGATCCTGGATTTTATAAAAATCCTACGTGTCGCAACCACGTCGTGCGCATCCAACTTCATATAATAAGATATATATATAAGTTTTTATATGATAATTATTAATTTATGATATTATTGGGACCATATTTTACATAGAAATTTTTAAAAAGTTATTATCTTATTATCTTATCGAATTGTGTCATATTTTACACTGGCCCAATTCAGGATCGGAAAAATTTATTAATTTATCGTATTTATCAATTTATCGAGTTAATTTATAGAGTTTATATTGTATTGACCCTATCCTGGTGAAGAGAAAGGCAGCGTTTAGGTTTGTCTTAAATAAACTTGACATGGTGTGCAAAGTTGGTCTTAGGGTGGAAATGGTTGACTCATTTGAGTAATAAAAGTGAGTGGAATTGTGCCACTGAAAATTATTCATGTACTAACTAGAAGAGTAACAATAGCTCATTTTATTCCTTAACTATTTGTAATGAGAACTTTTATTCTTTAACTATCACTTGCTCACTTTAATTCCTCAAGTGTGAGTTGACTGTGTAAAATGATGATTAAAAAGACAAACTCTCAAAAATAAAATTTAATCTTTGAATAATAAACATAAAATGTTAAATAAATTTGTAAATGCATCATATTTTCACTACCCCTAAAAATTCTAAATAAAGAATCTAAAATAGTTTTTGCAACTTTTATTGATCTTTAGTTCGAATCCGGTGGATTCCAGAAATTAAATATAATCATAATTTTAAGATTTATGTTAAAGAATACATTAAAATTTAAGTTGAATTTTATTAGAAATCATCAAAAAAAATCATAGATATTTTGTAAATCTTTTTTTAGGTTTAACAGTGAAAATCATGATGAATTTACCTTTATATTTAATGGTGTATGTTTAATTTCAAAAGTTTAACTTTCTAATAATCATTTTACGCAGTCAACTCACAGTTGAGGAACTAAAGTAAGCAAGTATTAGTTGATGAATAAAAATTTTCATTACAAATAGTTGGAGAATAAAATGAGCAATTTCCTGTGAAATGAAACAATTCTCCACTTGCTTTATTTGTTTTCCACCTATTGTTATTCCTCTAGTTTCTCCCCCTTAACACCATTTGCAATTTTGCATTCTTAAAAAACAGTAAACACTTCATTACTTATTAACTTGCTCATATAAACAACCTTCCTTGGATATGTTTACAAGCTAAAAGAGGGCAGATTAAGCAACCCTAATAGTCTCGAGAGATGGACATATTCTCTCTCTCGCTACCGAAAAGAAACATAAACAAAACATTACCATCTGCATTTCTTGTGTTGCAAGACAAGAGCTCAAGCTTCACATCTTCTCTCTCTCTCTCTCTAGTCTTTCAATCGAAGTACGACGACTTCACACGTGACAGAACGTCTTGGGATTTTGAGGAGGCTCTTAAAGATGACATTTTGTTTTGCACAACAATTCAGACGTAATGTCAGTTTCTTGAGGATAGCAGAGCTCTCTAGCAAGTACCTTATTAGCTTAATTTCTGCAACATGTCCCGAGACGCTGCTTTTGATATCGACAAACTCAAGCGACGATGACAAGCACTCTGGCACAGAGGAAAAACTTATTTGATTCATATAATCGGAACACATCTCCTCATAATCACCAAACCATTCCTGAGGATTAAACAAAACGTAAAATATTAAGACGGGACTCTTCATAGATCAACCATAAAGTTGGGCACAAATCATCACCAAGATGAGAGATTTCAGGACCGGGCAGATCTCGAGAAATGTTGGTAACCACTTCATATCAGTTGAGTAGAGATTAGCAACCAGCAAGGACAAGTTACGAAATCGAGGCACCGGTTCAAGTTTCGAGTACAGAGAGATGGCCTGGGAACAAAGACAAAAATATATTTTAGGGTTAATAAACTTTTCTTGACCAAGAAGTCAAGAACATGTATTTGACAGACGACGATATACCTTGAAGGTGTCGCACCATATGATCATCTCCTTGATCCCTGAAACTCCCGGGAGAAATTCACGGATCATACTTGCCTTGCTTAACACGTTTGCTTCCTCAAACTCCAACAAACCAAAGGCGAGCCAAATATCTAACTTGGCATTGGGATGCATATTCTTTACTATAAAGCTATCTGACAAGTCATCTTCGATGCTCAAAAACCCTAGTAGAGGAGCATCAATCACAACTTGTGAACCAACAACATTATACCTACGAAACTGTAAGTTTATCACGAGCTTATTCAGTGACCTAGAGGACACCCGAAAGACTGTTGCACCAGCAGTTTCACACCCAACAACCGTCAGTTCCTCCAAGACGGGACAGGATGAGACAAGTCCCTCGAAAGTGGCCTCAGTGGGATAAAAAATACTTTCTAAATGCATAGTTCTAAGACACGGTAAGGAAACTGAGCCGGCGATGCTAAGCTTTGATAACTCGGCATCACGGAAGCTCACCTGAAAGAGTTTCAAGTAAACCAGTGTCTTGCATGTATACAAGCTCAGGGGCATCTCGCAGTACTCACGCTCTGAATCATATCTAACGTCTAGATGTTGAATCTTCCTCTTAACTAATGCATCAATCCACCAAGTGAGATAATCGTCACCATATAATTTATTTTCACCAATATTTAACTTGGCTTTGTGTATGCAAGAAACCCTAATGGAATCGAAGAACCTGTAGCCAAAACTCATGAAGGCATTGAAATCTAGGACACGTTCGGAGCAAAGATCCAAACTAGTAACCCAAAGCCAGAGGCTCCTCCATCTTGTGGACAAAACGCTTGTGCTAACAGCTTCCTTTGTGGAGAGATGAGAGAGTATCTGACATATCAAAGGATCTGGTATTTCGCTTATCCTATCTAATCCCTTCAATATACTACTAGCCATTTTCTATTTCCTTCTAGAAAGCTTTTCAAAAATACTAGAATCTGCAAAGAAACAGTTAAAGTTTCAGAGACACACTTTAGATGCGAAGCTAACAGGGACAGACACAACCACTAATCAAAAACTCTCCTTCAGAAAGTAACATCAACAGACGCCGGAAGACGCAAGAAGAATCATCGTGGCAATTGCATGGCATAACATGAGCAGAAGCAAAATTCTTTTATAAAGGCGGAAGAAGAAGAACTTACGGTGTATCAGAACGCAATCAATTTCCGGCGGAGCTGTCAGAGAGGTGGTTTCGCCGACTGTGAATGGAATGAGTTGCCGGAAACTTGGGAATACTGTATCACTTGCCGGAATTGTGTTGCTGCATCTCTTTGAACAAGACCGAAGTATATAAATAGTAAGGTCTTTTACAATAAAAGCCCAACAATCATATATTTGGGATTTCTATATGGGCCGAAATTGACATGTCCTTCCATGGTACTAATTCGTTTATAGCAAATTTCTGAGTTCAAACTTTGAATTAGTACCATCGCTTAAATTTGCTGAAAAAATGCTAAAAATCACCAGAGTTCAACTGAAATTCTCTTATAATAATGTTTGAAAATTTTAAGTTTAGAACTGATAATCTCGACAGATTATGTTAATAAGGAAATCTGTTTTTATATTAATGATTAACTAATTGGAAACGGATTATGGAAAGTCAACAATACCATTGAGAATTATACGGTATAAACTCTATAAATTAATATTTCATATCTTATTATATAAAGCTGGATGCGCACGATGTGGTTGCGACACGTAGGATTTTTATAAAATTCAGGATCGCGACATGTGTCACTTTTAAGTTTATGTCCGTTAAGATCGTGACATGTGTCTTAGGAAAAAAGAGAACTTAAAAAAAAAATTCCAGAAAAATGTTAATTAAAAAAACGAAATTTAATTTAATATATTATATCAAAAAGGAAAAAATAATATTTGTTATATCCAAACAGAAAAAGGTTTTCATTCATCAATTTTTTATTATATAAAGTTGGATGCGCACGACGTGGTTGCGACACATAGGATTTTTATAATTTATAAGATCGCGACATGTGTCACTTTTAATGTTACGTCCGTTAAGATCGTGACACATGTCTTAGAGAAAAAAAAAATAATAATAAAAAATTTAGATAAAGGAAATTGTTTTTAAAAAATTAATCCATTACAGTTAAAAGAAATAAAAATATATTTGTCATATCCTAATAGAGAAAGGTTTCCCATTCATCAAATTAATATTATCCAAACAAATAATAAAATCAAAATAATGTAATAAATAAAATCCTATTTGTACATGGAATATGTTATGTAAACTAAATTTCCTATAACTGCATGTAATAGGTTACTTGAACCCCTATAAAAGAGAGTCAAGATTTCTCAATCATAAATTCATCAAAACAAATTCATCAAATCCCTTTGATTATATTTCTCCAATTTAAAAATCATGTTTTTGAAAGTTTTGCGATACATAGGATTTTTATAACTGACAAAATTGCGACATGTGTTTTAGAAAAAAAAAATTCTGAAGTATGAAGATCGTAACATGTGTCATGGAATAAAAATTTAATATGTATAAGACTAACTAAAAATTAGAAAAACAGATAACAAATAATTAAAATGAAAAAATAATATCCATTAAAAGTAATAAAAAAACAGGAAACAAATAATTTAAATTCTTTTGTTACATCTATTAAGAAAAGGAAAAAAAATCCATTTCGAAAAGGAAAAATACCAATATATAGTATTTATAATGGTCGAGGCAAAAAAAAATTGAGAAAGAAAAATATAAATAGAAAACTAACAAAATAATTATCAAGCAATTAACTAATATTAAAAAATTATAATTGATATTCTAATTTTAAATAGTTTGATTTTCAATTTTTGTTAGGTAAAAAAATTGAAATAAATATTTCATCAATTAAAATCTCTTGAATGGAATAATAAAAGTTTGATTAATTAATCAGTTGATCAGATTTAGACATGTGTAAGTCTTTCTGTATTGGATAAAAATAATAGTAAAACAAATTAATTCATTTTGTCATATCATAAATTCAAAAGAAAAATCAATTACAATAAAAATGTAAAAGTATTACCAATCTTATTTTATTTAAATATTTTTATCGGGTTTTCAATATTATTTTGTTTATGTTTAAAAATGATCAAATTTTGTTTAATATTTTCCATGCTTTTATTATAAAATCTTAAAATATACCCGCGTATACGCGGGCCTTAATCTAGTAAACTAATAAATTTGATAATATAATAAAATTAATCTGGTGGCTCTTACTAAACTGGTTAAAGCATGCAGCCTGAAAATTAAGTTAAAAATTACTATGCAACACAGCTTCCTTACATCAAAAAGAGTCTTTATTGAACCGTATTTGTCCAAAATTATACAAACATGTTTTGTCCAAATCTAGGCTTTCTCGTCGAAAGTAGTCAACAACCCTTTGTAATCTCTCCATGTAGTCTTCCTACAACAAGTCGACTACCAACAACTTCTCCAAAATCTCTCAAGAAATCGATGCTTTAAAAATGGAGGGAAGGACTTAAAATGCATAAACATCAAACAAAAAAGAGAGTAGATTCATCCATAGAATAATAAGTCATCTTTTGACTTTGTTTATTTAGGCATGTTAAGCGTTTCTTCTGTGTTCTGAGTCTGACATATTTTGAAGATTATAAGAAGAACATGTACCTCAACAGAATGGGGAGTTTCATCAAGAACTTCGTAGCCATTGGAACACATTTTGTAGAATTAATAAGATGCTATATATACCTTCACTGAGACTATAGTATAAACTCACGAATGCATCTAAACCACTTAACTTGTTCAGATAAACAACTTTCCTTGGATATGTTTACAAGCCAAAAGAGGGCAGATTAAGCAACCCTAATAGTCTCAAGAGATGGACAAAATAAACATAAACAAAATCCTACCACCTTCATTTCTTGTGTTGCCAGAGCTCAAGCTTCACATATCTCTGTCTCTCTATCTCTCTAGTCTTTAGTCTTTAGTTACGAGTCAAAGTACGACGACTTCACACGAGTGACAAAGCGTCTTGGGATTTTGAGGAGGCTCTTGAAGATGACCTTTTGTGTTGCATTACAAGTCAGACGTAATGTCAGTTTCTTGAGGATAGCAGAAGTCTCTAGGAAAGTACCTTATTAGCTGCTTCATCTCAGAAAGGTTTGTAACCAATTCATACACTGATACACATGCTTATTTAGTGAGTATTTCGGATTAAAATTGTATGACTTGTATAAGTTACAAAACAATGTAGAAAGACTAATAGACAACAAAGACAGACACCAAAAAGCCTGAAGTTCAAGATATAACATCTAAACCCTACATGCTACTCTGCTCACACTTCCCCTGATATCCTAATACTCAACAATTCATACAAACTCCACATTTTTGTTTCTCAGTTTCTTGATTGATTCCATGTTTAACCGATGATGATGCGGTCCAAGTTCACGGTCCATCCTCTTGTACTGAAACCAAATTATGGAACAACGGTCAGTCCTAGAGAGAGATAAGTGACTGATATTTGATGTTTTAGTTTGATGAAAAGAGAGAAACTTACTGCTCAAGATGAAGCCTTGAAGCAAGCTCTGTGCTCTCTCTGCCTGCTCTGGTGTTCCCGAAATTCTAATGATGTTTTGTGTTTCTTCCGGTCGGTCTTCTACTAAGGTTACACTAGCTCCAGACCACTGTCATCAAGTGGGCAAACAAAAGAGAAAAGACAGAGATTCAGAAATTTGATTTAAAGACGTATTTGCAACCAATCTAGTTCCACTTGATAAGAGTTTTACCTCACTGATCTGTGCAAGCTTGTTTCTTGATTTCGAAACAAGCTTAGGAATAGCCAGGTCTGGTAAGACAACTTCAAGCGTGCTCCTAGTAACAAGTGGCACCGACATTCTACAGAACCAAAACAAAAAACAACAAGGAGCACTTATTGTTCTTGGAATCTATGTTTGTCTACGGAAAAAGAAAATTCCAAATTTTGGGAGTTTTCTCTACCTGCTTGTTGTGACAGGAACCTCATCCCGGTGTTCGCTTTCACGTCCTTCCTATGAAAACCAAGAGAAAATGTTTGTTAATATCTACCTTCAGAGTATTCAAGTCACTGTGCATAACCAGATTACAATGTCACTACTATCAATAAGTCTTGAGTCTAACTGATTAAGGATGCATTTGTATTGGCAAGATATGAGATATTAGACCTTAAACTGTGGAGCGATTGTGCTAGCTTGCAGCAAGTTCAGATTGAAACCGGTAAGACCTTCACGAGATTGACTTGTGTTGTTCGATGAAGCAACTTCTATTGCTCCTGCAACACCTTCAAGAGGCCCATTTGTTGATGTGGAACCAGGCGGTGTCTCCTTTTGAGAGAGCTCCTTGCACATATGACTCCTCAACTGTAACGTCAATTCAACGAGTGCATCCCTAGCTGCTCTGATCTCTCCAGCAATCTACAATCCACATAACAATTTTCTCTTTTTCAGACCACAAGTAAGTTTATATTACGCATAACTCCACAAAGTTAGACAAACAGACCTGTATAACAACATCATTGATAGAAGCATATTCTTTCCTAGAGAGGATCTCAACGCTTGCTCCAGTTAATCTTGATATCTCCGATCCAGCTTTCCCTTCCAAACAAACCGAGTCTCTAGAGGAAACAAGCAATCTCGTCGTTACGAGGTTGTCTTTCTCCGGAACAAGGTCTAAGATCCGAGTTTGAATGTGCAGCAAAGCTTCTTGGGCAGGAAAAAGCTGATCGTCAGGAGCCTAAAGCAAAAAACAGAACTTCCAAGTTAACAATTGTGTATACATAACAAGAGAATAGTACACTGAAGAAGATCAAAAACTACCTCTTCAGAAGAAATGGTAATGATCTGTTCATCAGATCCAGCAACAGGGTCAGACACTCTCATGTCCACGCCAATCTCATTCTGAAGCAAATCTATTATCCCTTGTGACTCTCCAACAATCCTAACAATCTTGTCAGCAGGGCAAAGAATCCTGAACACAAGCTCTTCGGTGTAGAAAGGCTGCGCAGTCTCACCACCTGCAACCGCTGGAGAGACATCTCCTCCTGCATAGCTGGATTGACGAGAGCTGAAGCTGTTGTTTCGATAACTGCCACGAGTAAACCTCTCCGACGACTGTCTTCTCTGATGCGGCACGTACTCATCAGCAGCAGGCGTAAAGGACCGCTCTGGACCTTCCGGTGAATGTAAACGCCCTCCGAAGTTGCTCCGATCACGATGCTGACTCTCTCTTAGCCGAGATGATACAATGGCTAAAGCGTTTTTCACTGCAGTTTGTTCACCTACAATCTGAAACAAGCACAATGACAAAGGCTTAGACATTACTGTGATAATTCATATCAATAACATCACCAATTCATATATGTTAAGCTAATTAGCAACTAGGTCAATTTCTTGAAATTTGATGCAAGAAGAGCAATTTTTTGAGACCTGAACAATCTCTTCAGTGTTAGAGACGCAACGAGGCAAGTTACTTTCTCTTGGGAGGATCCTAATGTGAGTCTTAGTTTCGATCCTCATTTGCTCAATGATCTTCCCTCCTTTACCCAACAAGCAACCAACGTGCAGCCTCGAAACCACCAGCCTCGTCACGATTCTCCCTCCTCCGGGTCTCACTCCGCCGTAATCCTCCTCCTCTTCCGGAGGCGGACCTCCGCCGTACCCGAACTGAGCTTCGCTCTCGAGAATCCTGTCGTGGACGCTGAACAAAGCCTCCTGAGCGGGAGAGAAGGACGGCATTCTCCCGTCGGGATCGCGGCGGCGGTTATCCGAAATCTCGATGATGCGCTCGACGTCTCCGGGGAATAGCTCGTGGACGTTGATCCAAGCGCCGGTGCGTTGCCGTATCGACTTGATGATTGTTCCTGATTTGCCGATGACGCCTCCTGCTTTGGCGTCGTGGCAGAGGACGCGGTAGGTCGTCGTCGCCATCGTTTCCGGGTGGGACTTCGCTGACCGGCCATTTCCTCCTCCGCCGCCACCGCCGCCACGGTATCTGTTATTTCCGCCGCCGCCAAAGTGGTGGTTATTGTTGTTGTTGTAGCGAGGTTTAGTAGACCTGGCCATGGAATCTCCGTCATAGTCCTGGTCATAGTGATAGCTCCTCTTCGATCTAGATCTCTCCATTAGAAACAACCGCAAAACGGAAAATCAAAAAGTCCAATCAACTGGTCATTAACCAATCTCGCCGGAAAAAAAAAGTCCCCCAAATTCGAAGTCGAGGGTTTCGGGAGGAGTTTACAGAAGTACAGAGCGGAGTAATTCAGATGGAGGAGAGGGATCGGCGCAATGCAAAAGAGTTGTTGAGGGTTCTTGTGAATCAAAAATCCAAAGTTTTTAAAGGTTGAGAGTTGAGAGTAGAGAGAGAGAGAGAGCAGAGCGTGCAAGGGATAATGGTGTGCGCTAATTACGGTCTTTGACCAATCCGAAAACGCTGCCGTTTTATAACGTTTGAGAATTTGGGGATGCTTCAACGACACCTCTTGTGTTTTGAGACTTATATGGTTCATTATTGTTGCAAGCTTCTCAAAATGATTTTATGAGTGTAAGAGTGGGTTCACCAATATGAATAAGATGTGGTTAAGCGCTGTAACTGTATTTTACAGGGGTGTTTATTTTAGGTTAAGCACTATAACAGAATTTTACAGGGTTTTTTTTTTTTAGGCAAGAAATTTTAGGTGAAGATAAAAGATGAAACGGTTTGGATAGCACGTAAATGATATAAGAAATACTAGATGATTTCCCGGGTATACATAATTGGTAAAAATAATTTTCTTACTCTAAAACTAATTTAAATCCTGAAGTTGTTGACTCGGCCAAATTAGTCACGGCGTTAAGTTGCTTAACATATGCTTCTTTTAAACCTCGAACGACGTCGTTCTTTAAACTCAGAAAATGCCTTAATTAAACACTCTCAAGCCCTAACTCTTTGAATCGATTTCTCTCTTTCAAATTTTCCAAATCGATTTTTTCCTCTTGATCTCTCATTAGATTGTAAGTCTTAACAAATCAATTTCTCATCTCCCTTCTGATTTCTCCTCATCACTAACAACTCTGCAATAATCTTCAATTAGAGCCTCATGCTGAGTTTCTTCATCATCAACTCTATTGCCAATCTCTTTATCTTGATGTGAAACCTTCTTTTGTTTTGCTTTCCCCATTTGATTCAAATAAGGGAAAAAAAATCAAAAATAGTGTAGGGTTATGTGATGAGAGATCAATATAATAGTTTGGAAATCAATTTGGGAATTTCTAAGAGAGCTAAATCGATTTGTGAACTTAGGGATTTGAGATTGTTCCATTTGGGGATTTTAGGATTTTTCTGTCGTTAGAGAATGGTGTTGTTTTATTTAACAGAGGTTTACAATATGAGTTTAAGAACACTTATACAATTTGTTAGGCAACTTAATGTCCTGATTAATTTGGTCGAGTCAACAAAAGTTCAGGATTTTAAACAAAGTGAGCATAAAGTTTGTTATTAAATTAGTTCACTCAAAAATTGATGGTTTAAATAGCCAAATTTTGAAATTTCATGGATTTAAATGTCATTTTTCCCCAGTTCAAATGAAAAAGTTAGTGACTAGAAATAATTTAATTGCAGTGAGGTCAGTCTCTCTAGCTCAGCAAGACTCATATGAGGTATTCAAGTAGTTTTAGGCTCTAATGACCGTTAAAGGAATAAAAAGAATGAGAAAGAAATGAAATAAAATATAGGGAATTTTATTCCTTCTCTAATTTCATGAAGAATATTTTTACACTAACTCATTAAAGTTCTAACTGGTAACTGGTGAACTTTAAAGTAACAAAAGGAAAAGAATAAGAAGGAATGGAATGAAGATAAGGAATATTTTAATACTAAAATTCTTTAATCAATATGGAATGAGGGGGAATAATATAAGATACACATTCCTTATAAATATATTGTATAATTTTTAGGAAATGAGAGGAAACTTTTTTATTTCCCTTCATTCTTTGATCACTTGTTAGAGCCTAAAATTCTTTGAAATGACAAAGAATATGGAATGCACACTACTTATGAATGGTGTAACTAATAAGGAATGAAAATGAATTTTTTTTATTCCTTTCATTCTTTGGTCATTGGTTAGAAGTTAGAACCTTAGTTTTTTCAATTTGTCAAGTTGGTGAAATACCAAACGATTTAAACAGAATCCATGGGAACGATTGAATAAACTTGAATAGCATACGATTATGTCGCTTGAACATATAATTAAATAAATGTAGCGTCTCTTACATGCTGTGTTACTTAATTGGTATCGAAACATATTCATTTTGGTTAGTTTTCAAGAAATAGTGGCTGAAAATGACAAGAGTTGGGAATGATGCACGTGTATAAATCTTTAGTTTCTGCTGTGTAGGTAGCTGAGAGAAGGATAACTAAGTAAATTTCTTTAACACGTCTTTGATGTATCTCTCTCTTCCTGTGTGAATCCTTTAAATTCAGAGTGTTTTTATGCTGATGATGTAGAGTTGATTCTACCATTGAAATTAGGGTTTTGCAAAAATTTCGAACCGAACCGAGTTCAAACCAGTATTCGTGTGACTCGTATAAAATTGTTTTAATGCGATTGAAGAAAACAGGTTTAGTTATTAACCGTTATAATTGTTTAAACGATAAATAAAAAATAGACAGCCGAAAAAGGAAAAATGGAGAAACTGAAAAAAGGAAAAAAAGAATAATGAAAAAAGGAAACACAGATTGTTGTTTGCTGATATAAACTCGACTCGCAAGACTCACATCCCACTCGCTTAATCACAAATTGATTTCGATACTCTATCTCTCTCTTATATAAACTTGAGTCGCAAGACTTCTTACATGCCACTCGCTTAATCACAAATTGTTGTCGATACTCTCTCTTTCTCTTTCTTTCTCGTCGAGAAACAACATGAAGATGTGTCGCGAAATCTGGAGTTGGAACCGAGACCGGGAGATGAAATCGATGGAAGTTTGTCTAAGAACCCACCGATTCATAGCATTAGATACAGAGTTTCCGGGATGTCTAAGAGAGACATCTAAAGATGCTAAGGAGGAGCAAAGGTACGATGACATGAGATTCACGGTTGACCGGACAAAGCTAATCCAACTAGGTTTGACACTGTTCGACAGCAAAGGAAGAATCGGAGGCACTTGGGAGATCAACTTCTCGGATTTCAGTGAATTCGAAGATGAGAAGAACGAGAAATCGATTGCGTTCTTGAAAAGCAACGGTCTGAATCTTGAGCGGATTAGAGAACAAGGAATCGGTGCCGAAGGGTTTTTCTTGGACCTGAGTTGGATTTTAAACCGGAAAAAGAACATAACTTGGGTCACTTTTCATGGATCTTACGACATCGCCTATTTACTCAAAACCCTAACCGGAGAAGCTCTACCGGCGACTGCAGAGAGATACGCAAACTCTGTGGCGAGGATTCTCGGTTCGGTTTACGATCTGAAAGTGATGGCCGGTCGATGCCTAGGGCTAAGTAGCCGGCTTGGTCTACAGAGTCTAGCACATGAGTTGAGAGTTAACCGTGTAGGGACTGCACACCACGCGGGCTCCGACAGTGAGCTAACGGCTCGTGTCTTCGCTAAGATGGCTCGGAATTGCCACAAGGTGGAGGAATCAGAAGGGTTTGTTTATGGACTTGGCTACAGAATTATCTCAGATCGTGTGAAGCAAGAGGCTGTTCTGATGCATCGATTGCTCAGTTGCATTACCACCGTATGATGAGAGCATCTCCATATGGCTAGTTAACATTGTTCAGTACTCCCTCCGTTTCATAATAAATGTCGTTTTGACTTTTCATCTACCCAATGTATTTAGATATATATATATATGAATGTATTAAGACTCAAAAAACACATCCATATACATCAATAAATAGTCTAGATTCATTTTGTCAAAACGACACTTATTATTATGAAAGGGAGGGAGTATTAGATTTTGTCTTTTTTTTTTAATTGAATAACCTTTGAACATTACTTTTAATTTTTGAGAAATTCTTTTCAAAGCTTCTTATAAATTTAAAAACATCACCTTGTTCGATTTACATTTATCCATAAGCCAAGTTTCATCATAATAACATAACAAATGAAGTTGTACAATTGGACACAGCATTGACCATGTTCTCTTACTTAACTCCACAACAGTAACAATCATAGTAGTCCCAAACGGGATCAGTCTGAAACATATACCGGTTAAGTCGTCTTCTGGTTTAATAAAGTATTGTAAACGAGTCAATAACATATAGAGAGCCTCATCGAGTCTAAAACAACACTAGAGAAGTTAGCATTGAGGTTGCTTTCAATGTCAATTATAATACCACATTCCTTTACAACGATCAAGGGTCACTATTTGGCCTTCTATCAACAATAATTGTATAGTTGAAATCATTATCATAGTAATCTCCTATAACTTTATTTGAGTGTGAATCAGATACGTCAGCAATCCCAAATCAAAATTTACACCAGATACATCATACACAAGAATCACAACCATGAAGAAGAGAGCAGGTTAAAACCAAACACTGGAATCCAACAACCCTATCTATATCCGAAAGCTACAATTTCAATCAATCTCAATTCACAACCCAAAATCCTTCATATAGTCATAACTACAAACACTCTTTCTCTTTCGAGCTACCTAAGTAACAAATCACAAACCCTTTCGCATTACAAATCAAATTCGAAACTTTTCAAAGAAAGCCATAAACTGTAACCGAGAGTTGGTGATACGAGGTTAACAGAGAGTTTAAAGTTAAGCAAAACTATGATGAGACCTTCTATCCAGACCAAATAGAATGTCTGTATTAGAAGTGAATTCCAAACCAAATAATGGTTTTGACTTTTGACAATTTCGATTGAACTTGTTTAGACTTTAGACCGATAAATGGAGATTAATCGGGCTCGTAAACAAAACCAAAAAACGCGTTTGGAGACATATTGAATGCATGGAAAAACTTAAATGGACAAATTGAAATGACGTTGTTACTTTTCCCACGTGCTATTTTTCTAATAATTTTCCGGTTTGACATTTTCAGATATTACCCGCCATCTAGCCGACCAATCCTACGTGGCAATCCTTACCTCCACCCAACCAAAACCGAACCGATCCAAACCACTCCATCGTCGTCCAAATCTCTCTCTATCGAAAAGTCTCTTCTTTCTTCTTTCTCGTCTTCTCTTCTCCTCTTCTTATTCCGGTTGCTCAATCCAATCCTACACAGATTTCATAGGAACAATATCGTTGAGCAACAAGAAAAAAAGAAAAAAACGATGCCGTATTGCGAGATTGCGAAAGAAGACGTCGACGCAGAGACGACGCTTAACAATGCCGGCGTCAAGATCTTCTACAGAACGTACGGTCATGGTCCTACCAAAGCTCTCCTCATCATAGGTCTCTCTCTCTCTCTCGACATATCGTCTTCAAATTTTGATTTCTCCTCCGAGCTCGATTTCAATTGGGATTTCGATTGAATGCTCAATTGTTTCCTCCTTTCCTGTTTCAGGTTTAGCAGGAACTCATGAATCATGGGGACCGCAAATCAAAGGATTGACGGGAACGGATAAACCCAACGGCGACGGAATTGTTTCCGATGATTCGGAAACAGGCCAAGGCATGGAGGTATGCGCTTTCGACAATCGTGGTATGGGTAGGAGCTCCGTGCCTACCCACAAATCTGAGTACACGTGAGTCTTGCCTCTCTATTGCCCCCAATTTCTGTCGAAGAATTGCCTGTGAAATTGGTTTTGTTAGCTTCACTCAGTTTGCTTTCTTTTTGTTTTTGGTGTAGAACAACGATAATGGCGAAGGATTCAATTAGTTTGTTGGATCATTTGGGATGGGAGAGAGCTCACATTATTGGACATTCTATGGGTAAATTGTGTTTGATAATTCAAGATCTCACATAATCTTATTCTTCTTCTTATTGTTGTTCTCTTGGAATTTTGATTAAACAGGAGCAATGATAGCTTGCAAATTAGCTGCAATGGTGCCACAAAGAGTCCTTTCTCTGGCGTTGCTTAACGTTACAGGTGGAGGCTTCCAGTGTTTCCCCAAGGTAACTATCATGTAAACACATGGCGCTATTATTTCTTTGATAGCAATTAGCAAATGACTTGTTCATATGTGTGAATGAATCTCTTGGTTTCTTAGATAAAGACAAGTATTTGACTTTTGTTTTTCATGATTTACCGACATGGATAATGCTTCACTGAAATCTGAATTTAGCATTTTGTTTTTATGTGTGTTTCAGCTGGACAGGCAAACAATTTCCATTGCGGTACGTTTTTGGTTGGCAAAGACTCCTAAACAAAGGGCAGCTGTTGATTTGGACACTCATTATTCACAGGTGCGAGTTTTTGAAATTTACAAGAACAAAATTGACATGGAACATTTGTTAATACTTAATAGACTGTTGATTGGAGTTTTGGGAAATGGCCTGTATTGTTCAAAGGAATTTTATTTATTGCAATTTTCGTTCGATGCTGTTTTCTCTGTGCGGTTGTTATGAGAGATCAAATCATTGGTCTTGGAGAATTGAGTGATTTGGTAACAAAAATCTATTACTGTCCAGAGGAGACTCATGAGAGATTATGTTCTTGATGGTGTCAATACATGCAGGATTACCTAAAAGAAGTCATGGGAAGTAGCACAAGACGGGAAATCTTATATCAGGTGTGCATAAAATTGACATATAGTCAAGTCATATATGGTTAATGGAACTAATAATTCAGAGATGCAATGCAATGAAATGCAGCAATATGTGAAAGGGATATCAGAAACTGGAATGCAGTCAAGGCACGGGTTTGATGGCCAGCTTAATGCTTGTTGGTTACATAAGATGACAAAACCAGAGATCGAATCCATTCGTTCGGGTGGATTTCTTGTCTCAGTCATTCATGGAAGGTATGTGTCACTCAGATGCGATTAGAATCAAAATCATCACAGTCTTGATATACTTACTATGGTGGTGGGGGTAATATTTGCAGACATGATGTGATTGCTCAGATATGTCACGCAAGAAGACTTGCACAGAGGCTATATCCTGTTGCTAGAATGGTGGATCTTCATGGAGGTCACCTTGTAAGCCACGAGAGAACAGAAGAGGTACTTTTTTTTTGTTTTTCTATTTAACTTCTCTGTCTCTCCAGCGACTGATGTATAGAAAGACTCAATCGCTAATGCGTCTTTATCGTTCTATCATCTCCTTTAGTCTGCAGTAAATGTTTGTGGATATCATAATCAGATTACCACACCTTAACAATAAAAAAAAACTATAAGACCGGAATAGAAACAGACTAATCTGAAAATAAGAATAAGCTGAGCAATCACATTGTTACTTAATCTTTCTCTGTAAAGCAATCACATTGTTACTTAAATGTCGTTGTGAGTTATGATTGCAAACTATAAAGACTTACCAGGCTCTTGAGCTGTAATAGGAATAGCACATTGCTATAATATGGTAGAGGGCTCTTCCACAGAACCTGGAAGGAATGATTATTAACATACCTTACTGCTCAATTGTCAGGTAAATAAATCTCTTGTCGAGTTAATCAATGCGTCAGAAATGAAGAAAAAACCAACTGATTGGACTAACCTCACCATGGAAGATCCTGGTATACAAGAACTACACGATCTCCTTTTGTTTTAGACCATTCTGCCTTTGGAAGATTGTTTCCATAATTTGCTTTCTCTTTCAGGTTATTTCAAGAGGAGCTTATCATTTATCAGAACCTCATCAGAAGGCAAGAATGATGGCGGCTCTCCGTCATATCTCATATTGGAAAAGTTTCACCGCTGTCTACTTTTCCTCTTCGGGCTTCTGGTTTTGGCATTTGAGCATGCAAGAAGAGCTTTCAGGGTCATAAAACCCGTCAAAGTTGGCCCTTCTCTCACATAACAACAACAATCAACAAGCACTCACATCTCAATTCGTCGACCAAGTAAGCTCCTCAGTCCTCCTCACTGCTTAATTATGTCAAACATAGAACAACTTTAGTAACTAGACTTATCACAGTCTGTCGTTTATACAGCTTTGAACAGAGTATACATATACAGGCAAAAACGAGGCAGTTCTTCAATGATCAAGCTGATGAAAACATGAGGGCTTGAGAATCATTCTTGCTGCAAACAGAAGCTAGAGAAGGAGACACTGCTTTAACATGGACAGAGTCACAGAGAATACAAAACTGTTGAAATATATGTACGTGTATAGTATCATTCCAATTTCCAAAGTCAATCTGTATAAAATGTAATATGTAAAGACAAGAAGACATAAAATCTCAATCAAGACTTTACATGTTTTTATGTACCTATAGAAACATAACTGTTTCTCAAGTTCCTGCCATGAAATGAAGAATTACAAGTCCTATAGGCTATGACTATCTCTCTATAAAGCATTAAACACGTAAGATTTTTTTTATTCTAGAATAAGATAACCATTAGAAAACAATTGCATGAAAAATAAATCTTTGTCTTTGATTTAAACATTCCAGGTTACATGAATCTTCATCACCATGTTGTTAATATATCAAAGAAAAATATGAAAGTTAGCTTCTAGCTACGAAACAATTACAAGATCGTGAACAAAAACTAGCTAATTCTGAAACAGCTATAAAGAAACATACACAAAGATAAGAGAAGATAAGAAGAGGACATACCTCGTACTGCTTCTGTCTGAAACCCAAAGCTCATACATAGCTTTTCTTTGGTGAATATATGATGTTTCGTAGCTAAATTTTTTTTATCTGTAATTAACATTGATACCAAAAAAAAAAAAATTAGCTGCAGAAACAGAGAGAACGAAGAGATTGGGAAACGAGTAGACAAGAGATTCTTGTTTGTACTCAAAGTAATATTCCTTCATGCAAAGATATACTCGTCGAATATACCCCTCTTCACATGCCTTTGATTACGGGAAAAGGACATTTTCGTCAATTAATCTCGCAATGTAAAGTCTTGGGCCGATTAGGGCCCATTTCGTAGCCCATTCAAACCCTGCTTCTTGTTCCTATCGGAAGAAAAAAGTTTCAATTTTTTTTAGTACGAAAACCTCTCCATTGACGAAGGAAGGAAGCAGCAACAATGGCTGCGACTGTTCCAGCAATTGCTCCTTCTAACCATGCTTGGGACTTTAGCTGGTATGTTTAGTAGATTCTATTGCTTACGAATCTTTATCATCTTCTCTGATTTGAGAATTTTCTTTTCACTTCTTCTCCTTTAGTGATTCGACTCTTAGTTTCGAATTGTTATTAACGTATTTGATTCGACTATTGAATAATTTTGATTTAATCCGCACACGAAAGTTTCGACCTTTACCCACATAAACAGCAGTAGGACATAATTTCATTATCTCTGCTCAATTAGGTTAATTCGAATTTCTAAACCGGTTTAGACTTGATGAAATTTGGTTTCTTTTCAATTGGAATTTTTATGAACAAAAAGTTCAGGATTGTGGTTATCATTGATGCAAGTTGTAACTGAGTTTTGTTTTTTCCCCAATTTGCAGTAATCTGGATGTGAATTTTGAATCGGAAGAACATGCTTTGATTGTTTACACAGCATTAGCAGTTGATAAAGAGGTTTGAAATTTACCTAAGATTTGAAGAAATTATCTAATTTCCAACACAAAATTATATACGTTTTCCAGTTTAACTTATTGTAGAATTTGTTCTGTTAATTGCAGTTGCAGCCTGATAGAGTGAAAAGAGTTATGTCAGTATCAGACAACAAGCTTTCTGTGTGAGTTTCTTCATCATCCTGTTTTGATTATTGGAATCGCTTAAATAGGTTAAGGTTGATTAAAATTAAGAGATCTTCTCCATTTTTACAGGCATTTTGAAGCAATAGAGGCAAGGCTTCTTCGAGCATCCTTCTCTGCGTTTGTAGACGTTCTTACACTGGCCACAAGAACAATTCAAGATTTTGGGCAAAATTAAAACACTGATGTGAAAAAAGAAAAAAATGTTGTTTGACTCTATCTCATCGTCTTTCAAGTACTCAAAATTAGAGTGGTCTGTTAAGTCTGCTTCTCTGAGCACAAGGTGAACCTAAGTTTTAGGCTCTCAATCTCTTTAAGCTTTTAGTTGTTTTAAAAGCTTCTTTAGTTTAAGCCAAAACTTAATCCTTTCTCTTCTCAACTTATTCTCTTTTGTAATGGTAACTTTAAATTAATGAAAACCCTTTATCAAAAAAAAAAAAAAAGGTTTTCACAGATTTTGGATTTGATTCAAACAATGTACTTATTATTATGATCCAAGATGTGATGAAAGATGATTACATTTAAAGCTTTTTGATTTGGATCCATTTTTATTTATTTATTTTTCAGTTTCCAAGTGTGTTATATAATTAGATGTATTTCTCCATTTTTAATATTTCAAAATGGGGTAATTGCAAAATGAAGATGTGTATTAAATGTTTTTCTCTATTTTCTCTTCCAAAAACAAATACTTAATGTATATTTCTATTTTTCTTTTCACTACTAACTTGCTAAAATTATACTTTATCTATAAAATTTACAAATTGACCCATTAACTTTTGTTTTCTTCAAAATTTAAATATTTATATAATTATTGTATTAAAAATAGACTACATCACAGAAATTAATATTAGAACAAAATGAAACTTAATGTAACTATTACCTGATGGATATCTTTCTCATAAATAATCAACTAATACATTTTTAAAATGAGAAATGATCATTTTTATCTTTAATCTATTGAAATCGAGCAAGCAAATTTTGGATCGTATACTATCATTCTCGGCTATGTGGACTTTTGGAGGTGAATAAATTTATCTTCTATTATTTTCTAATTTCAGTACTTATTAAATATTTTTCTATTTATTATCAATTTAAATAATGATATTTTCTGTTAAATATATGTTATTTTTATTTTATTTTTTAAATGATAAAATGTGATATATTCTATTGTCATATATATAATATATATTAATTGACAACAAATATTGCATACAATATAATCCATATTATTAGTAATCTTTAATTAAATAATAAAACCTTTTAAAAGAATTAAAGAAAATTAAAGGATAATGTTGTAAAAGAAATTATCTCCATTTTGCAGATGTAAATGGGTTTGTTCCATATTTGGAGATAAAAATGGCATTATCTCATGTTGCAATTGAAATTGAGATAGGGTTTGAGTATAAATTTCTCCAAAATTACATAAAAAGTGAAAAATTGGGTAGGGTTGGAGATGCTCTTACCAAAAACTCTCATGTCTTTTTACATCAAATTAATCTCATTAGTTAAAAATACCATATTGTTTTCAGAATACATTTTCTACAAATTTGTTTATAAATCTTCTTCATTTTAATTGCAATACCTATAAATAGTTAAATATTTGTTATAAAACCTAAGAAAAACTTGTAAAATATATGAGCATTTAAAAAAAAAATATATATATATATATATATATATATATATATATATAACTTGATTTATAAACATGTCTCCTAACCAGCCTCTTTCAAATATTGCTTGTTAACAGAAAAACATACATTACAAGTTTACAACCCTTTGGCTCCTATTTGCTTCCTTTTTTTTTCATCTTCTCCAACCTTCTCAGTTCTCAGTTCTCACCCTAATGGCTTGCAGAGGAATAGAAATCTGCAATCCCAGGTATGTGACTGAATTCTGAAGGCCCTTAGATCAAAGTATACAGAAATATCTTAGACTAGTATTTGCCCCGTGCTAATGCACGGAGGTATGGCACTCATAATATTACAACATACTTGTATATTTGAAGTATAGCTCATCACTTGATTTTGTATCAAACGATTTTATGAATATAGATAAAATTGATCTTCTTTTAGTGACATATCTCTATCAACATTACAATTATAGCTGTGTAATTATGTTTTTGTTTTTCTAATTTTTAGAAATTGTAACTTAATTAAAAAACAGAATCCACGATACATGCATGAACACTCTAAATAAAAAATGCATGATAACATAGAATGTGAACAGTATAATTAACTCCGCAAATTCATAGCTAAGAAACAACCGTACAAAGTTATAGAGATATATACAAACATCCATACATATTAATAAAATTGGACATTATAAGCATCATTCTAAGCATCATCCATACATATTAACTATTGATGTTTTTGATGCAAGTACCTGAAAATAATATCATAGCCATGTTAAGAAGATGAGAGTTGGAAAGAAGAAAGATGACTGTATAAACTGGGTATATGGAATTAGATGATCGATCTGGAATTTTAGCACATATAAACCTGTCTATCTCATATGTGGTAGGAATCTTTGATCCCTGCTTCAGTCACAACGAAATGTCCACATGCAAAAGTCCTTTTCTTTAGAATTCAATTGTATATATCACTGTTCAAAATGAAAAAAAAAAACAGTATTAAAACAATGACACAATGTAAAAGACACCAAACTTTATATTAAGAACACGTAATGGTTTTACATGCTGCAGATGGGCCAAAGAAGTTCTTGTTTCTTATGTCGAAAATAAGATTCTCCAACTTCATCTTGAATGTACGAACCAGAATATCAGGTCTGTCTTCTAATTGTAAATTTTGCATCCTATGTATAAGAATAATAACATTAAAAAACTATTAAGATAGTGAAAATAGAAAGTCAACAGCATGATTGGTTACCTTTCTTTTAAATCGTTAATCTCAGTAATTTTAGAATTGATGAATAACTTTGTTAAAGATTTTCCACTCTCCATTGTAAGTTTTCCTAAAAAAAATATATAGGAGAGGTAAACGTTGGGTAAAGACTTCATAGAATTATAATTGAATTTTTTGGCAAGGACATGGAGAAGGTTGATGATTTTTCTCAGTTTCCAATAATATTTTAGATAGAACAATCAAAACACGAATATCAAAAATCCAAGAATAAAAACTTTGAATGTTACCTGTTTTCTGAAACAGAGAGTAAAATAAAAGGAAAACCTTCAAATTAAAATCACAGATTGAGACTCCATCCGCACAGTTGTGACTGAATCTGCACACAAAGAAATTCCAGTGATCAATTCTCAGGGATAAAGGAAGAAAGAAAGATGTACAGATTAATGCATGTAAAAAACTGATGAGGTTAGAAGGAAGATAAATATACATGATTTCACAATCAAGAGGAAGCTTCATCTTGTAATAAAAGCACTTCAAAAACCTGTAACAGTTCATAAAACAGAAAGTTATAATTAACGGCTTTGGTAACAAAAAAATTTCCTCACAATATAAGAACAGCAAACAAATTTCTTATTCATTGTCTATATCCTTCAATCTCATAAAGCCAAAACAGCACCGAGAATTTGAGGATTATAGTCAAAAGCAATTTACAAAATTTTGATCAGAGATTAAAGCAAGTTTTTCAGTAAACAAAGAAGGGAAAAAAAAATCAGAATTGAAGCATTCAAAATATATTATTGTAATGTTGAGTGAACTCACACAAACTCAAGCACCAAATCAATTTCGTAATTCATTGCCTAAATCTTCCAATTTCATAACCGAAACAAACAACACCAAGCATTCAAGGATTAGAATCAAAAGCAATTACAATATTTCAGGCCCAGATTGAACAATTTATCAATTGACAGAGAATGAAAAAAAACCCAGATTACAGAAATACCTGATTTAAGAAGCATAGACTTGATTCATGGATCTGGGCGGATCTGGGCTGAACAGATTTTAAAGGAGGAAGATGAATTTCAAGATCTAGAAAGATATAACAGAGTAGTTGAAGATGAAAACAAAGTGAGAGATTCATAGTAATAAAGAATTTCTGAGGCATAAGAACGTGATGTAGTAGCAGTTTAGAGGTTTAGAGAGATCGTGGTATTGTGGGTGGAAGAGAAGATGAATTTTCAGGGAAAAAGAGAAGAAAAAAAAAAGGAAAAGCAATTAAAAAAAAAAATCGAAAAACTAAATTAAAAACGAAATTCGGTGGACACGTGTCAGAAAGGTAGGCCATTAGGTGACTGCTGATTTATTAGTATTAGATTTATCGGTTTTTCTTGCTGACAAAATATTTGCATCGTTTAGAAGTGTGTTTTTTTTACTGTTTTTCTTTCTCTCTGGTTCTCTTAGGTCTGATTACAAAACAGAGGAACAAATAGATGAACTGAAATCAGAGGCAGAAGAACTAAAGCTCTTTGAGGGAGAACACAAGAGGTTTGTTCTTCTTTCAATAATTGTTGAGTTTATTTAAATGGAACAACCTAGGGCTTGTGTAAGTCGTTTAGGACAGTCAATGTTAAATCAAGAACAAGACAAGAAACACTTAGGTTCTCAAATACTTGAGAAACAAGTTACTACAATTTTCTCTTCATTTCGAATCCAAACATTCATATAGATCAATGGATATATATATAGATGAATAGGTTCTTGGTGTCAGGTTGAGAACAGCCTCAGAAAGCAACAGTGTACCACCAGAGGAGGAGAAGACCTAATACAGATTTGTATCTTCCCTCGGATCTTGTACGTGTAATATTGTCTCGTCTTGCTTTGAAAGACAACATACGCTCTTCTGCTGTTTGCAAGACGTGGTGCGAGATTGTTGCTTCTGTTCGGGTCAGAGATCCGCGTTTCTGGCTTATGTATCTTGATCGATATCAACCCTATGGCGTCTATTACGGGTTTGACGACCCGGTAGAGAAGAAGAAGACAAAGGCAATGATGGGTTTTCCCGAGTTATCTAAGCATTCGTGTATCGTTTATTCCAATGATGGGTGGTTACTCATAAAGGAGAGTCCTTCTAACGATGTCAAACATTTCTTGTTCAATCCTTTTACTCGGGAGCGGATAAACTTGCCTACAAACGGTCTGAGAATGGCAACAATGAAATTTGCGTTCTCTTGTGCTCCTACAAAGAAAGATTGTTTGGTATTTGGTATTGATACATGGAGTGTAAGTCTATATGGTAGAGTAAGAATCAGCACTTGGCATCTTGGTGCAACTACATGGGTAGAAGAAGACTTCCCTGACGTGATCTCCGTTGGAGGTACAAGAAACATCTTATACTCGGATGGTCTCTTCTATATGGCAGCGGAAGTTTCACTAGGGGTATTTGATGCATCTGCACGCACTTGGAACGTTCTTCCTGTGCAGCCGATCACTATCGCTGGCGTTGATGCTTGTGACACGATCAGGTGGTTAACTGAGTATAAAGGGCAGATATATCTTGTAGATGCATCGTCAGCGGAGCCGATGGTGTTTAGGCTAAACCGTTTGGAGTCGGTTTGGGAGAAGAAGGAAACATTGGATGGTTCGTCGATATTTGTGAGCGATGGGTCGTGCGTGATGGCTTCTGGCCTCACGGGGTCAATGATTAACGTTTTGTATTTCTGGAAACGTCCGGTCAAACCAAAGGTTTACCACTCAAGGTCGCCCCGCAAGTTTACGACTGGAATAGCCCCTTCAAGTACTCTTTATATAGCAGGAGTTTGTGTGAAGAACGTGAAGGGGACTATCGGATGGTGCCTGGATCCACCTATTCTGGTACGACGAATAATGTCTGGATCGAGCCGCCCCACAACATCTCTATCTCTGATTACTCACTTCTTCCCTCCGATGATGCCATAAATACGCGTCTCTTTATTTGAATATCATTCTCAGCTTTTGAGTCTATTGTTGTAAGTAACATATGTTGTTGTGTGTTGTCTATTGTGACCGCAAGAGATGACTAAGCCCCTTTCTTTCTGTTTTACATTCAAGACAAAAAAACAATGATTAATAGATTATTTTGTGTTGTAAGCTCTTACTCTTGCCACAAGAACAATTCAAGAATTTGGGCAAGACTAAAACGCCCATGTGAAAAAGAAAAAAAAAGGTTTGATTCTTTCTCTTTGTCTCTCAAGTGTAGTCAAAACTAGAGTGTTGAGTTAATTGTTTTCTTTGAGCACAAAACCTTAGGATTTTATCACATATTTTTAATCGAACAATGTAACCTTATTTATGGTGTGACAGATCCAAGAAATGATGAAAGGTAATTACATTTATAGCTTTTGTATTTGACTCCGTTTTTAATTTATTTATTTTCCATTTACAAAAGTGGAGTTGAGTAATTTAGCAAAGAATCTAATAATCTCAATAATTCTTAATATTCTCTCTCATGCCTCTTTTTACATCAAATGTATCCATCATCACAAGATTCACAACATATAACACTTGCATAATCTAATACGAAACACACACAAACTCCATTCATTTGATATCCGATTTGTTATAAAATAACTTACTAAAACATGTGTGTGTATACAAGGAAAGTGAGGTGGTGATTTTTATTTCTAAAAGAGAGAGTGAGATGTTGAGAGAGTAGAAGAAAGCTTGATAAAAATTTTGTCTTCTTATCTATCATTCACGTGTGTGTCGTCCTTTTACGTAAGACAAAAATTGAAATAGTAATGTGATTGGATAATCATCCAATATTATTATTAATTTATTATATGAATTTTCAGAAATTAAGATTTTATTTTATCAAAAAAAAGAAATTAAGATTTTAATATTTTATCTACTTTCATGCATTGACTTTGACTAGAAGAAAAAGAAGGAGAAAAATAAATTACTAATCCCTCAATTTCATAAAAGCTTTTCATTAAAGAACCAACTAACCCACACAATTCAGCCCCCATGATCATAAAATATAATTAAGATCACACGGCAATCGCTTTTAATTAATGATTACAGCCTTTGGAACTCGTAACTCCCATTGCATTGCACACAATTCCCTATGATTATTAACCTCATTAAAGAGACTGTATATATATATTCTATGCGTTCGTCAACTCATTCCTATGTTTTCTTTCTGTGACTATTATCTTGTATTGTTCTCTATCACTCTCTCGTCGACAAATGGACACTAACTCTCTTCACCAACTCGTTTCTCCGAAGATCGAAAACCAGTATGATCCAGATTCCTTGTATGAAATGCTCGAAAAGTAAGTTGGAAACCTTTTATCCTTTTCTTGCTAAACAAGTCATCTTTCTTTACTTTGTTAATCGTTTCTCGGTTTACAGGTTGCCTCCGCTAGAGAGCCTGCTCGATACCGATGATGATCTGAAACCAAACGAGGGTTTGCATTTTCAGTTTCAGTATAATGGCTTTGAAGATTTCTTCGAAAACATCGAAGTGAATAACACATTTTCATCTGATATTCTTATGCTGACTCAAAACCCCTACTTGTCGAGTGAATCCTTTTCACCAGTGGCTGTCCAAAACAGCGATTGTCTCAGTTCCAACGAGACATGTGAAAAGAGAACTCTTAAGAGGAAGAGGCACGTCAAGGCAAAGAGACAGAACCAACTGGAGTTGTCTGAGATCAGGAAGTTTTTCGATCGGCCGATCATGAAAGCGGCTAAAGAACTCAACGTTGGACTTACTGTGTTGAAGAAGCGTTGCAGAGAACTTGGGATTTACCGGTGGCCTCACCGGAAGCTCAAGAGTCTTAACTCTCTCATTAACAATCTCAAGGTATATTAATTAGCGTTTGCGTTTTAGGGTTTATCACGTTCTTGATTTTGTAAGGGTTTAGGTCAAATATGTTTATTTGGTGATAGGGTGTTGGGATGGAAGAAGAAGTGAAGAATTTGGAGGAACATAGGGTCCTTATAGAGCAAGAACCTGATGCTGAGCTAACTGATGGAACGAAGAAGTTGAGGCAAGCATGTTTCAAAGCTAATTACAAGAGAAGGAAGTCACTTGCCAATGACGACGATTACATTTGAATATATCTTCGTTTCTACATTTCTTGTTTTTTTTCATTTTGTTTTAGACTCATTTCTTAATTTATTTTAGTGACCTAATGGTCAATCTAGAATATCTTGGGAATTTTCTTTTAAGGTATTTAGCGCCATTTATTTGATGAACTAAGAAACTCGTTTTTATCAATTAATTTTGATGAATGACTTTAGGGTTCGTGAGATGAATCAACTATTATGACTAGAAATTAAATTTGCAAACACAAAAAATTACAAATGCAGGGAATGTAATGATCGTATGAAAATATGTGCTCAATAATTAAACTGCCAACTCTAAAGTCTAAACAGCTTTGACAAAATTTTCACACACTAGAAAAAGTCCATCATAGACGAATACTATATCATATAACCACTTCTTTTCACCTTTTTGTAATTTGGGAAAAATGTTGATCATTTCACACGAGTGAAAATTACTCTATTCTTTCTTTTTTTTAGTCAAATTACTCTATTCTTTGATTTCTTTCTATATAAGATATTTTGTGATTTTTTTTTGTTTGTTTCATATTACTAATTAACTATGTAATATTTTTCTTATTTTCATATTATCCATAGGTTCCATACAACATTTTCTTACAATTTTTGAAGTTTATTATAAACTAGGGTAATTCAGTTATCTTACGATACTTTTTTAATCTCAATGCATATTAAAAAAAAAAAAGATGAAATGTAGGAACATAAAAAAAAAGTGAAATCCCTAAAATTTTCATTGTAAATTTTAATAGAAGATGTTTCCTTGACATTTTGTATATAAATAAAGTATACACAAGAGAAGACTAATTAATTAGTATATCAAACTATATAATTAAAAGAAACTTTAGGAAATATTCGATTTAAATAGTGGAAGAAGAATTCATCATTTCCAGATTCTCTTGCTTACGCCTCCATGGAATCACTTGCTTAAACCCTTCGTAAACCCTTGCCTGCAATATTTAAAATCGAATAATTGGGTTACGCAATTACTTCCTCCATCCCCAACAAAAAAAATTGGTACCTTTCAAGATTTTTGACTAATGACTATGAAACTTTTTGTTGGTGTTGCAAGAATTTGACATTCAATTGAAATTTTTATCTTTATAGTTCAGAATCCCACAATTTGAGAATTGATTCGAAGAGCTTAAATCAGAAATTGAAAAAGGTTTTGAATTTGTGAGTAAAACCGTAAAAGTGTGCAACTTTTTTTTTTTGTAAGGTAAAAGTGTGTAACTTTTGATTTTATTGTTCAGCTGAAAATATAAACTTACCCAAAACTCTGACTTTGTTGTATGAGAGAGATTAAAAAGGATCCTTTTCCCTTTAATTCTATAAAGTTTCACTTTTGTGCCGCCGTCGCCGGTAAAGTCACCTCCTCCTCCGGCCCAATCCTTCCGATAACCGTAGCCGTCGTCTCTGAAGCTTGAAAAGTCAAATATACCCTCGGACACCTCTTTGCATCTCCCGAAACTTCTCCATCTACTTGACCCAAACAATCTCGTTTCCTTCTCCGGCGCCGGCGCCGGAACTCCTCTCAACATCCTAATTACAGACGCTGATCTCGGAAGCGACAGTGAACGGTGACGCAAATCGTAAGGACCGTCGAGAACAGTCGTCGGAGAAGGCTCGTTCGCAGTCGACGATTTACAAGATTCTCCGGGCAAAAGTAGCCTCGGAGGAAGGTCCAAGCATTTCACGGCTCCTCTTTTTTCTCCGGTTTGATTCGATCTCGGCGGTTTTCCAACGGAACTACGAGGCTTTCCCGGAGCTTCTTCCCATAGGAAAGGAACAGATCCGGCGATGTTAACAGGCGGTGTAGCTAATCCTGGAGTTTCGTATGCTCTGTTCATTGGATATGAAAACAGAGGAAGCTTAGGCGTTGAACAGAACCGATCTTGATCATTAGCAAAACCCATTTTTTGTTTGTTTAATGAGAACCCAATAATGTTTTTGACGTTATACAAAATGGGTTGTGATTATATAGCCGAAAGAGAAAACCTTTTTCGGAGTTGGATTCATTTGGACAAGAAAAAGGAAAAGTTAAGGAGGATGAATAATGGAAGAGAAGACATGAAGGAGAAGAAAAGAAAACATAAATGAAAATGAATTGAATTTTAAATAAAGAAATAAATTGAAATGCTCCCCTTTTGAGCTTCTTGTTCACGAGGGATGGCATTTAGTTAGTTTATTATTGACAATGACTTGTGAATTAGTACCTTCACTATCAAACAATTCGGAATTGATAAATCCTCTAAAAAAAAAGCTGATAAATTTCATTACTTAATAGTTAGGCTAATTTCGAAAACGTTACATTTGTGTTTGTGTGCATTTTCATCATTATCACTACAACACATGCTTTGTTTTATGTTTGTGATAATAGGATTAGTACTACTGATGCTGAATTTGTAACAGAAAAACACAAAAGTATTATTATTATGGGTAAGAAATAAATAATAAAGGGTATGATCCCAATGGACGTGTTGATGGACAAACGGTCAATTTGGTTTAGGGTTTGAAAAAGTCAAAGGCAGCTATTTGTTTTGTTGATGTACTATCTCTCTCTCTCTCTCTCTCTCTTTGTCGTTGCATTAGTTATGTTGTAGCGACTTTTGTGTGGAAATGAGTGCGAGGATTAGGAGAATCATGCGAAGCTCATGCCTCTTCGCCTTCTCTTACTTTCATATTTCATGCACATATGCATTACATGTAACTTGTTGAAACTGTAATTGTACGTGTCTGTTTGGAATCTATCTATAAGATATTACTTCTAATTTTTGTTATGATGATTCATTAGGATTTAAGTCAAACAGCAACAAATATTTCAAGAAAAGAAACGACAATTAGTTCTCTTCATCCACACCGCGCAAATTTTGAAATGTTTTTGTCAACAAAGACCTACTCTCTTATAGTCTTTTTAACACTTTAGCTTATTAACACTTTAGCTTATTAACTATCATAATTAACCTTCAAAATAAACTAAATTAATAAAGCTTAAACCATAACTTAGATAGCTCACTGTCTTCTAACATCGCGCTTATTATTAATCGAAATTAACATAGTGCATTAGCTTTGACTTTACAAATAGCACACAGTAGAATCTCACGTGTCTTGATTTATGCTTCTGAGATTCGGATATCTTCTGATTTGTCATAAAATCCAAAAAAAAATATGTTTGCTTTATAGCCAATTAAGTATTTGAAAATACAACACTCACAGGAGTACTAACGAGGTCAAAAGACGTCTTTTATTGATGAATCCAAGGTCAATTTTTCTCGTGATGTGCGATGATATTACACATTACATGATTACAAATTTATAAACAGTCTCACTTTTGTATGAATCAGATCCCGAGAATGAATCCGGAAAGTGAAAATGACAGGAGTCTCATGTTTACTGTTCAGTGGAATATATTTTCTCTTTTTGCATTTGGGGTTTTATTTGGACACGGGATTATATTTTGGAGGATTTGATATATGTCAACATAATCAATACAAAAATTTGTATTAAAGAAGTCTATGTTATAGTAAGAAGAGAGAACAAGAGAAGAGAGGAATTGGTTGTGTCTTATTCCATTAGTAATGAGCTTTATATAGGATTACAATATAGGGTTTTCCTTGGAGAGGAATACATTGGAGAACAAGCTAGAACATTCTAGAATATGGGCCGATAATGGGCTTCCATATAAACTAGTTATAACACTCCCCCTTGGAAGTCCATTATCTAAAAATATCTTCTAAGTGCGCATGTGCTGCCTCGTTAAAACCTTACCAGGAAAACCCAAAGGGAAAAACCTTAGTTAAGGAAAAAGAGTACAGCGCGCAACTACTCCCCCTCATGAGAACATCCGTGTAGATTAGGTGAATGAACTTCTTGATAATAGCAGATGGAAACTCCTTTAAAATCTTCACTTGAACAGTCTTTAGAACATTGACATCGCCATTCTTCTTGGTTGCATGGATCAAGATGATTCATCTTGATCAATCTCCTTGCTTCACTTGATCTCATAAATAGATGACAAGACTTCTTTAGATGTTTCTCATTTGTGTGTTCTTTGTTGCCTCATTAAAACCTTTCATGGAAAAACCCAATGGGATAAAAACCATGATAAGGAAAAAGAGTACAACCACACATATCATCATATTCTCCCCCTTGGAAGCATATTCTTCAGGAGATGCATTCCAATACTATCTTTTGGAGATTACTATAAGTATAACTTTGATGAAAGTCATTTAGACTTTTAGTCTAGACATCTTTTTCTATAAATAATCATTTGGACTTCTGGCCAAATTTTCTCTTTTATATACATTCTTGTAAACATCTATCTTGTATATATAATCTCATGCTCATTTTGCTCATTTTCAATTATGAAAGAGACTAACATATTTTTCAAATAGCATTTGAAGTATGGTACTTCAGGACCAAATATATGTGAGCATTGTTTATGTAAATCATGCCATAACATTTCTGGGAATTTGGGATATCTTAAGACAACTTTGTCTTTCCAAGATCTTTTATCCCATCTCTTTTGTGATACTAATTTCGACAATTCTTCTGGAATTTCGATGTATGTTTCAGACTAAAGATCTCTTTTGATCTATAAATATACATGGGTATTTGTTAGCTTTATATATTCACTTTCGTGATTATATCCATGAATCAAATTTCTTTTCATTTGATTAATAGCTAATATTTTCCGGGAACAAACAATGATATCATTAATTCTTTAATGATTATATCCTTCAGGGACTTTTACATAAATATCATTGTTTAGTGAGTTGTATAAGTCAAGTTCTTCTTTCATTGCCAGACTTAATGAACTTGAAAGTTGCATCCACCACATGAGAGTATATCTCTTCATACTCATTCTTCTTCGGCACAAATGCCAAATTTATAACTCACTTGTTTCACACTTTTTAGGTGAAAGGACTTCTGGTCCAAATCTCTCTTTCTTTTGTGTCTATTGCTTCTTTTCGATTTGGCCAAATCATTACTTTGTGTACACAATGCAATAGACTTTGTTTCATGATCCTCTTTCTCATTCATAATATCAACTGCTACATTGCATGCAAATATATTATTTACGACGTCGATTTGCTTCTGGTTCCATTTTATTCTATACATGACATAAGTAATTTCTCGAGATCTCATCATTGTCTCAGGTACCTGAATTTCTTATTTGTCATGTTTAATGTCTCTTCTGGAGATCACTCAAAAATATTTGTTTCCTCGGTTTGACCATTGTCAATTTATGCTCTTTTACTTTTTCGAGGATTATAATATTTGGAACCGACAAGTCTATCACGCTTCATGCGTTCTTTAGACTCACTAGCAGCTTGATATTGTCCTTCTGGGACATCAATTCTTATTAGAGCATTTACAGCTGGTAAGTGACTCAATCACTATATTTGGGTCAGTAAATGTATCTGGCAACTGATACAATAAGTTTTGTGAATGAATTATCTTTTGGACTTCTATTTCACATTCTATAGTCCGAGGATCAATGATAATTCATTCAAACTACTTTTCTTTCCAGCCTTTTATTTTCTCCCCCTGATGTTGGAAGAGTTATCCTTCATCTAATTTACTTTATCCTCAATCTATCCAACTGATGTTGGAAAGACTTATCCATTAAATGGAGTGTAAATCGGCTTACTTAAATCCTTCAGGATAGCTCTCGATTTTATCCAACATCTAAAACCTCTTTGAGGATCTATCTCATACTCACGTCGTGGATTGTATACTGTATATCCACATGCCTTTAGATGAAAATATTTGGTTTCTGACCAAAACCAATTCCAAAGGGAGAACTTTTAATAACTCATTGGCTTGATTTGAATCAATGCTCCTGCATTCTTAGTATGAACATGTATATTGGATGTTCACTGAATTCACCTTTATTACCAATTAATTAATCTTGCAACTTCAGGTTACAGATTGATATCAAGTATACATACAACCATCTTAAAGTTTTCACGTAGATGATCAGTCCACATAGTAGCTTAAACCATAAACTTTTCCGTGTATACTTTTAATAAGTGACTAGATTCCAAATCTTGTCAACTGGTGAATATCATACTATGAATTTCTTGTGAGCATGGGACATATCACAAATCATTGAGAGAATCTTCTGGTTCTTCAACGAATGTCCATATGATTAACTTTCACATCATATCTTAACCAGATTGGTCTAACGGGTTCATGCCAAACAGTGAAGTTTTCATTAACCTTCCGGTGACCATAACTTCTGGTGTACGGCAATATTTGCTTTGATTGTATAAGCACATTACAATCTGCATTTAATCTTTCCATAATGGTATATAGAGCCTTGGGTAATATGCGTAATGTGAATGTATTCAACATTCTCTTCACTCATAGTCTCAATGTGATGATTCTAAAAATCTTCAGGATTTTCTTTAGCATAGTGTGAACTTCATCTCCTGGATGTTTCACTTGCTATATATATATGAGATTCTTTAATTCTCCCCCCTCGAGATGGTGATACTCTCAATACATCCATCTCAGACATAATCTCACTTTGAATCAACATCACACCCAACTTGGCTCATGTATCCCTGTAACTTTTAAGATTATGACGCATAAGCAATTTTGAATATGAGTTCCCATAGACTGTATGTTCTTCCAAAACATTCAATATGGATGCTCTTCTGGAGCTTTCAATACATATGCTCTTCTGGAGCCTTTTCTATGTATACTCTTCTGAAGTTTTCAATATATATACTCTTCTGGAGTATTCAAATTCACATATATAAATAACATAGAAAATAAATAGCAACTCATAAATTCATAGGATAAAAAGAACAGCTAAAAGCAAATCAAAATTAATAAATAAAGTAACATATATTTTTAAGTAAACTATATGCTTGAATCTCAATTATTTCCTTCAGGGATGAGAAGATCAGCAATTGCTCGTTTGTTACAATTTTTTATTCACTCACTTCTGGTGAGAATTTATAATTATTTTGACCTTTGAACTTGACTACATACACACCTATTCATAACATCATCTTTATGATCAGTTTTTGGCTAGTTTTATTTCTGTAGTCATCGACATTCACTTCAGGGAATGAAGGAGAACTATTTTAGTTCACCAATGAAAAACATTACTTGTCGAGATCATACCTTCTCCTCTCAAAATAGAGTTTTTGACCGATCATAATAAAATTTTGATCAAATATATAAAATGACCAGACTCTATCTATGGTCAAGTATTCTATTTTAAGGTCATCAACAACAAAAATGATCAGACTATATATATTAATAGATATTAGTCATATAAAAATAAGGAAGTCAATATATAATCATCAGAAGGCAAACATAATATAATTCTATTCAGATTGAATTAAAACGGATGAAGCAAGTCATGCGACTTCAGAATATAGATATGTTTGCTGATGGTTTCAAATTCCAAAAACAAAATTTCAGTATGATGGAATTTCAATTATAAAATTCATGATTATGAACTCATATCAACAATTCTCAAAATAATAAACAGCAAATGTCAAAATGAAGTAAACTATCAAGTTCGTTCAGTAGTGGTGGTAAAAATCAAACCAACGACATCAAACCCAAACATTAGAACCGTACTGCTACTACAACGGAGTAAACTTGTCAGCATATAATATAGTCTTTTTGAGGAACCAAAAGTAGCATAGTACATACCTTACTAGTAGAACCATTGGCCCATTTCACCTCCACGACACCATTTTTGAAGCCTGTAACAACACCAATGCTAGACAAACAGTATGCGCCACTGTAGCCACTCTCTGTAAGTAGGTGTTTCATCCCCGTAGCAACGATTTTGTCTGCATTTGGATCAATATTTCCTTCTGGAAGTAACCTGAACACTACATCGCTGAAACAGAATCCGAAATCAGGGTGCTCAAGCAGTTCATACGCACTGACAATTTCCTCCATCTGCTCACCAACACAACGCGTAGCTTCTTTCTCAACCAGTGTTGTCCATTGTACCATCACAGTCTGTTCCTTTGCATTGACAGCCTTCACAACTCCCCATCTTTTGCTGTTGCAAGTTTCCTTTTCCACAACAAACTGCTCAGGCCAAAAATCATGCGCATTAACAGCACCAACAGGAAGCAACTGTTGAGAATCAACTCCCAGAATGCAGCTACCATCTTGCCACATAACATCAACCTTCATCTTTGTCTTCGTAATAACAAAAAGCTCATCCGAACTTGAGCTCTGCATATTTCTGTTAAAACCTTTTTGGAATGTCGTATGGCCTTCGTTGAGATTGTAGGCGACCACGTTCGGAGTTTTCTGCTCTGCTATATCACAGTGAGGAGAGCCAGGGAGTATGCACCAGTCACCAAGCTGCCAACTTGCATGAGAAACAGATGGTAGCAAAGTTAAATTCTCAGGATTCTGCAAAGCTTGAGGTGTAGCTAACTTCTGATCACCCCCCATTACCATGGAGGCAAGCCAATCAACGTAGACAAGTCCTGCTTCTACAGCAGAAACAGTTCCAAAAACCTGGTTCTCTCTCCAGTTCCCGCATAACCATGTTGTTGATCTTGGAGCATGTGCAAGCTTTACCTGAACTCTCTGCCCAGGGTAGTACGAATACTGAGAATCCTCAAGCAAATTCGGAGGAAGAGCCACAAGTTTATCTTGATCGTTTACAAGAACCTCGTAATTGGAACCATCGTCAAGAGTGACAGAGACACGCTCAACTATCTTGTCAACTCTTCCAAGCCAAGGTCCGTTGATCACATAATCACAGAGTGAGATAGAACGCAACCTTTGAAGCCTCTTGGTATCAACTTCCTTGACGATCTTCCCATGAATGCTCTCGAGATTGACAGACATGTCAATGTTGATAACCCTGCCAGTCTGTCCTGATGGTTCAGTTGAGGACCGGACTATGTCGCCATACAGAAATCCCCTCTCGAACGACAAGAACTCGTCGATTTTGCCAATGGTCTCTTCAAGGTTTGAGAAGATGTTCTGTGCCCGTCCGCCGTAAGAAAACTCGGCTTCTTCATGTTCACTGCTACCACTGTCGCTGGAGCTATCCCAGTCAGAGTCAGTTAGTGCCATATCCATAGTTTTTAGATGCCTGCAATGGAACTGCAACTGTAAGACTCGGATAATGTCAAATGATTATGAAATGGTTATAAGAATTTCTGGAATTGTTCTGACCTTAGGCAAACTTGGATAAGAAATGGTGTAGCTTTCCTGATATGCACTAACAAAATCTTGAAACTGAAGCTGCGGACTGTGTGGTAAGATCTGCTCGACTAAGATAACAGGAGTCAACTGTAAGACTCGGATAATGCCAAAGGAGATTTGCTCTACTAACGAACGATAAGGTGAGCCAAAACTGAGTCTGACTCGGATAATGCCAAAGGAGATTTGCTCGAACTAGATAGAGATAAGGTGAGCCAACTGAGGACTCCGAACTGCCAAAGGAGATTTGCCCAACGAAAGGACTGAAGTATCCAGTTGGATTAAACTTCAAATGGGAACCCAAAGATGTAACTGTAGTTCCAAAATGCCAAAGGAGATATGCCCTAGAAAGAGGGTAGAAGGAGCTTCAAACCTCAAGCCACAGTGAAATGACTTGTATCAAAGCCACCTAATGGATGAAACTTCACTTCTGCTGCTGCTGCTTAAGTGTTTTCTTTGCCAAAGGAGGTTTGCCCTAAAGGAGCTAGAATCTAAAGTGTAGAATAGGAAACAGGAGAGAGTTCAAACAGATGAAAACAAGATCGGTCTCTTGACAATCATTCACGCGCCGAATTTAACACCAGTGTGTCAGTGAGACCAACATGATGAATCACTCGTTAATTGCTCATCAGAAGTAAACCAGATTTTCCTTCATCACTTAAGAATTTCCATCGAACCTGCAAAAAAAAGTGTCATTTTTTGCAAGCAACAGAAGCTCCAAAACAAATAGAGAAGGAAGCATGCGATTTGTATCCAATTTGGCAGTTTTTAACTAAGAAGAGAGCACAGAACAGAGAAAAGTGTGCTTTTTTAAAGCTCAAAAACTCATCTTCAGAACCATTCATTGCAGAACTTGCCATTTGGGCTCAGCATCAAGATTCAATACACAATCATCGCTAGATCATTTGTTGAACCGAGACCCAAACTGTCGAAACTAAGATTAAACAGATTCAATTTAAAGAGACCGCAAAAATCTCCTCTTTATCCAAAACACATGGAGAATCTCATCAAAGGTCTTAGCTTTTTAATTTGTAAATAAGTTTACAAGCCATACATACTTGAATTCTCTAAGAAGATTAGCAAAAGCTAAGAACTTGAGAGGACCCTTTCTCTTAATTCAACAAGAGATCAATCAAAGAAGTGAAACAAATCGGAGACATAGGCAGAGGAAAAAGGAGGAAACTTACCATAAGAAGCGGTGAGATTATATCAACTCGTCGGAAATTTTCTGTCAATTTCTCGCCTATTCCTCTGTGGGGTGAGGAAATAGTGAGAAACCCAGAAAGAAGCAGCGTAAATTATTCGCCTTTTAGTCCCAAGAGTCTATGACGCCATTAACGAACCTCCAAACCATTGGAAAAACCAAAACTTTACGCTTCTCTCTGTTTTTCTCTGCTTTGGCGTTCTCTCTGTTTTCTGTGAGGTGGTGCGTGTGAGAGTGGTTGGTTAGGTATCACATCGAGAGGAGAAGGCAAAGATATATTCGGTGGTGGAGACGGAAATGGAGAAGGAGAAGAGAATATACCAACAGTATCCCACACACAACTATACATCACTCTCCTTTTTCTTCTCCGCTTTTTCTCTCCTTCCTTTCCTTTTCCACCTCCACAAAATTTTAATATATAAAACTATATATAACCTGGAAAAAAAAAACATTAATTAATTATCGTGCTTAAAGTAATTTCTACTGTAGAGTAGTAAAAGTCAAAAGAAAACAAAGAAAGAAGATGCAGGTAAAAAAAGGAATACAGTGATTGTTTGGGTCTCAAACATGGAAAAACCACCAAACATTTTAACCAAGATAAACATATTTTAGAACTCGTATTGGTGCCTATAATCGATCCAATATTGGTGATTAAAAAAAGGCATTGTGATCCCGTGAAGAAACGGTGACTTATTCACCAATAACCACCAGTTGAGATCAGGGCCTTTATTATTTTCATAACCTTACTAATTGATTTTGCCCATATACTATGTTTTGGTTAGTAAAAGAAATTTAGGGGCCAAAATCAGTTGCAAAAAAATATTTATCGTCTGCCACCCGTCAATCATGCATTGGCCCTAATAAGTGCTTCCTATCCATATATAGTTTGATATTTTCTTTTTTTAGTTTGAAACCAGCTTTCTTCTCATAATGCTTATCACGGATTCATCAAACATAAATGATTCTGTTGGCTCTGTAATGGATTAAAGAAGTATACGGAGTATTTGTCAATTGAATAAAAGCGACTTTAATGTCTTCGGTT